TGCCAAAGAGCTACTGAACGATCACAAGAAATTGAGCAGAGCAAGGCTTGGATGAGGTACAGTTAAATGCCCATAAAACATAAACCATTATTCATTTTATTAGGGTACAAAGTTAGAAATCAAAATGATACATGTACGATGGTAATAGGCATTTAATTAATCAAATGTTACTTATTCAGCACAATATGTGTAATTCAGAAATCCTTTGTCGAGCTGCTTAGAAGGGTGTAGAGATCACACCTCACCTTTGTAATAGTGGGGACACTGTAGATGGGACAATTCCTGCAATTAAAATTTTATATAGCGCCAATAACAATGAACTTGTTTCTTAGTCATGATGGACGAGGACAGTAAAAGTCACGACAGAAGAAACATTATAACAAATATTTATTTAAAAAATATATAGACACGATCCAGGGAAGAAAATGTATCCCATCTGTGCCTCGGGAGCTCAAATCGACAGGACACCGACATTTTTATTTTAGGCTGTTCCCTCAAATTGAAAACACTAATGTGACAATACAGGAAGTGCTCCACTTTGTTTTTAAACTCCATACACCTTCATTAGAATCATTTGGTTGATTTCAGCCCAGGAATTCCCCGTTTCTACTGAAAGGTAAAAGGTAGATTGAAAACTACCACTTCATGACATCACAAGGTGGAACAGAGCATTTTGAGTTTGGAGATGTAGTTTTGGAGATGTAGACTAAATAATAAAGAATTACTCAAACATGTGTGAATGAAACTCCTCATCTGTTTCTGAGGACATTATAATATGACTTAAAGCTCACAAGAGTTAATTTTGCATAATATAAGACCTTTAAATTAGATAATATACAAATGTGCAAATTTTTTGTATATTTATTTTTGTACAAGTAGGTCTAAGTCATTTTAAGGCTGTATTCTGCATTATGTAACCACTGACACTGACTGATTTTATCTCTGTATAATAAACTGCTTTAAGAACCATAATAGTAAAAACAAATTTTTTTGCAGCACAAATGAAGTACAAACAATTGACTCAATTTTGTGTCGTTTTAGAGCATTCTGAAGCTTCCTGGGGGCTGACAGACCCCAATTTTTTTATTTTATTTTTTTTATTTATTTTACTTTCAAAAATACCTCGAAAAACAAGCATTCTGACTGTGTCCCCTCTCCACAGATCTGACCTGTCACTTGGTCTGGTTTGGTCTCCACATTGATGGAAAGGTTTAATGCCATACTTCGAAATATTCCAGGCAAGCAATAACATCTCCATGGAGAAAAACATTTGATGTACCCTCCACCAGAAAAGTTACACAACGCACCTTTAACAAAATGTCCTTTTAAAAGGTGATATAAAAAGAAAAAAAAAAATTAGATTTAGAAACATTCAGAAAGAACAACTTTACCACTTTAAATGGCAATGATCGATTTTTTTCCCATGTAATAAAATAAAACATGTTTTCCTTCTGTAATGTATTTTTGTCAATTTTTTTATGTGAACCCCATGAGAAATAGTTCTTGCTGTGGTAATAACTAATGAAAATCCAAAATAAATAAAGAAACTAAACAAAAATGAACTGCACATTCACACTGTCATTTGTGATGCAATGATAATGTTGCCTGGGCTGAGTTAGAATAACAATAAGTTATTAGTTATGTGGTTAGTCGTACTACCAAAACCAGCCTATTTGAGTGTTTGAAATAAAACATATGAAACATTCGTGTGCAGAATGAAAAGCTTACAGCACCTGGTATTCCCAGGCGGTCTCCCATCCAAGCACTAACCTGTGTGTTATTAAGATAAAGGTAGAATTTACTGAACGCTGTGGGGAAATGCATCCTCTGTATCTGATTAAAGGATTCTGATCATTGAACTTATTTTAAGTTAAATAAAGCTAAATCTAGATATAAAAACAGTGTCCATGTCAAATTCTGTCGCTTACGGCCATACCACCCTGAACACGCCCGATCTCGTCTGATCTCGGAAGCTAAGCAGGGTCGGGCCTGGTTAGTACTTGGATGGGAGACCGCCTGGGAATACCAGGTGCTGTAAGCTTTTCATTCTGCACTCGACTGTTTCATGTTTTATTTGACTGTTTCAAATCTGTAGAACACTCAGGTAGTCTGGTTTTGATACACAATTCTTTCTTTACAACATAAAGTACTTTAACTCGCATATATGTTTAAAAAGTAGGATTATGTGCGGAAATGCGCATTGTGACTGACTCCAGGAATACAAACATTTGTACAACACTAAAATATGACCTGATGAACTCATCCAAAAACCCCACACATTTCATGTTTGTAGATGTATAAACATGATTGTGATATATCGTGCAGTCTTATCTTAAAGTGACTTATCGTAGATAAATAATAATTGTTGCAGTGTCTTTAGCTACACATATAAATTGGTTATGTTTTACTTTCTTTTCTTTTTTCATGACTTTTAACAATTTTACAGTCTGTTCTGTTGAACCTGATAGAGTTAAATTAAGTGAATAAAAAGGGACTTTTCTATGTAGAAAAGTATCAGGACAGCGCCCTCTTCTGGTCACATTGGAGTAGTGTAGTAGTAAGTCACAGTAATAGTAAAACTAAGACGCGTACAGTCACGTAAAGGCCAAAGTGTTTCGTTTCTCTCGTGTTTCTAAAAATGATATGCTTATAAATTAAATTTGGAACAAGAGAAGAAAAGTAAAAGCTTACAGCACCTGGTATTCCCAGGCGGTCTCCCATCCAAGTACTAACCAGGCCCGACCCTGCTTAGCTTCCGAGATCAGACGAGATCGGGCGTGTTCAGGGTGGTATGGCCGTAAGCGACAGACTCTGACATGGACACTGTTTTTATATCTAGATTTAGGTCCACGAATAAAGGTCCATGATCTTTAGTCTCCTGGGTCAGTGCGCTGTGCTGCCTCCAAGAATTTTTTTTTTTAGTACTTCATACCCCAGATAAAAACAAAAAGGCACCACATAAAGATCACACCTAAACATAGCAAAATAAATCAAACCACAATTGTGAAGATAAAATAACACAAAACCAAAAACACATTCATGCACAAACTAAGGGGGCAATTCTAAAGCTTCTAATCAATGGAACAAATCAACATAGTTCAGAAAGGAAACAAGAAACCCGGCTTCCCTTTTTTCAATCAGGTTCAGTGAGTCAACAAAAAATCACAGGTCATTTCTAAAGTGTGTTATATTTGGTTTTATCTTAAAAAAATCGACATTTGTGAACACAAATTTACCTAAATCAATGAATTATTCATTTCAAATTCCTTCCTTTTATCGTCTCTTAATACACCAAATTTAATTTCTTTTATGGTTAGAGGGGCAAATTGAATTCTCGTGGACTGAAGCAACGAATGAAAATCAGACCAAAATTGTTGCACCGAAGTGCATGAAAAGACAAGATGTTCCAAGTCTTCTTCCCCTGTGTCACAGAACACACATTTACCTGTCTCAAATTTTAATTTTTGTTTTAGGAATTCAGTGGTTGGATAAATTTGATTCACAATTTTAAATTGTATATCATTTACTTTAGGGGAATCTGGAAAGGAAAGATATTTAGCCTCCAAGAACTGTGCTGGAAAAATCTTGACAAGGCAAAATGAGATTATAGGCTCCATCCATGAGGGCACTATACTGATCACTGACCAAATCTTTTATTTTTTTTAATTTTTTATTATTTTTATTTTTTTTGAATTGCAGAAAACATAACAACAAGACAAACCATCAAAGGTATATACAGTATAAAGTGCAGATGGGATTGCTGTTGCATTAATATACACACATACACACATACATACATACATACATACATACATACATACATACGTATGTGTTTTTTGTTTGTTTTTTTGTCTACAATATGGTGGTGGTTTGCAATTGATTATACAGGAGAGCAGAAAGAAGGAAACCAAAACTAAAAAAAAACTAAAAAAAAAAAAAAAAAAAAGATAATACCATAAACTAAATAAAACTAATCAATTAAGGAGTTGTTATCAAGATATAGGGGAGAGTGATATTGTTATAAATACTTCTTTATAGATATTACATGTTTTAACCGTCTTTTTGTTTTGGACCTGTTTTATTGTTTGAAAATATTGCTGGATTTCGTTATTACACTGATGAACATTTGGTTTATTTTGAGCCCATTTGGTTTTGTGTATATGATACTTTGCCAGCATAATGAGAGTCTGAATGAGGAATCCGAGATCTTTGGGGATGGAGGGGAACAGGACGTCGTTTTCCTGGAGGTTGATCTCTTGTCTGGTTTTGGTTTGGGTGAGTTGTTGTATGTGTGTCCAGATGTTTCCGCTGTATGTACATTTGTAAAACTGGTGAGTGACTGTTTCTATTTCGGTGCGACAGAAGTCACAGTTGTAATCAATCTTTAATTTGAATCTTTCTAAAGTTTTTTTTGGCTGGGTAAATATTATGGAGAATTTTGAAATTGACTTCTTTCATTTTGTTATAAGTGCAGAACCTCTCACCAGCCAGCCAAGCCCTGCTCCAGTCAATCTCCCTGTGCAATGAATTCCAATATGAAGTTGCTGAGGCTCTGTTTGGAGGTTGAATAATATTTCTGATGTATTTATTTGAACATGTTTTGATTTTAATATTGACCTCTCCCAAATACAGATTGTTATTGATTTGATGATTAGGTTGAGATCCCTGTAACAAATGCAAAGTGCCTTTAGGTTTTCCTTTACACACTTTAATATATTCTAATTGTTTACTTGGAAACTGATAGATGGCTTTAAATTCATTGTATGAAAACATTTGTCCTTGTGCACTGATCAGTTGATTAACCCACACTATCCCATTGTCAATACATGTTCTAAAAAATAATGATTTATCGCGATGCTTAATTCGTTCATTATTCCAAATGGAGCAGCAGGTTGGCGAGAAGCTGTGCTTATAGATCAGCCTCCAGGAAAGCAACGTCTGCTTATGGAAGTCCGACAAGCCTATAAGTCCGGTGTGCATGGGACTACGTTACCCATGATGCACCTGATTGTAGTTCCGGAAAGCTTGGTCTCCACAACTTCCGTTCTGTGTTGTTGTTGTGCAGCAGTAGCGATCGCTAACAGAAGCACCATCAATAACAGAAACAACAGCTGTAACCGTAGAGCAGAGCCGTGGCACTTTGGCAAAAAAAGCAAAACAAACTTTCAATCTCTCCGCGGGATTTAGAGTGTTTGTGGAGGAGCGTCTGGGTGCTGGTGTGCGCTGTTGAAGAGCACCATGGCGGACTATGAGGAGGAGCCGCGCCGCTCCAAACACAAGAATCAGCAGCTGTTGGACTCTGCTCTGAGCCCGAGGGTCGTGCTCGTCAGAGCCGGTAAGTCTTATGGATCTTAATTTTTGGCTCTGGGTGTTAAAAAGTGCATAGAAAAATGCCTATGATGTAGAAAAGAGCTGGTTAGAAACGTGGGCCATGGGTGTAATGACTGAAGAACCTGTATGATTCCAAATCACTTTAGATACTGACTCAAAAGTATTTACAATCTTCATGGACAGAAAAGACATCCCATCGGCCTTAAAGTAGAAGACTACAGACAAGTTCACAGTGTTCATGTCACAAGACTGCACGTGTATGTGTAAGTGTAAGTGTGTATTCTCTTGTGTCCTGCAGCTGTCCAGCTCTCCTCTCTGAGCCCTGGTCTGACTCCACACATTAAAGAAGAACACAACATCAAACAGGAGGAGACTGAGCAGCAAGTGTGAGTCTCAGACATTTTCAAACTGCTATTCTTTATTTTGTTATTCATTCTTAATCATTTCTATTACAAATATTCAAACTGGGTTTGAAATATACAAATGTATCTTCTATTTTTCAGCTCTGTCCCAGAGTTTAGTGCTGTGAGCGTGAAAACAGAAGAGTCCTCACTACTTCTACAAAGACAAACTGAGCAGAGAGAGGACACACAGGAGGAGGACATCAAAGCAGAGACACATGTCCACAGAGAGGACACACAGGAGGAGGACATCAAAGCAGAGACACATGTCCACAGAGAGGACACACAGGAGGAGGACATCAAAGCAGAGACACATGTCCACAGAGAGGACACACAGGAGGAGGACATCAAAACAGAGACACATGTCCACAGAGAGGACACACAGAAGGAGGACATCAGAGCAGACTCAGAGACTGAGGGAGACACAGAGCACTCTTCTGACACTGACAGTGATGAAGACTGGAGAGCTCCATTCAGCTGTTCACCTGCACACATGGACACAAGGACTGATGGAGACAAGTCTACACCAGAGACCAGAGACACTGTGAACTATGGAGACATGTCAGGAACTGGAGAAGGAGCTGAGAGCAGGAAACACAAGTGCTCTGTTTGTGAAGAGAGATTTGGGTCTAAATATAAACTACAAATACACAGGAGAGTTCACACAGGAGAGGAACCATTCACCTGTTCAGTCTGTAAGAAAATGTTTGCTGCAAGATATGACCTCAAAATACACATGAGAACACATACAGGAGAGAAACCATTCAGCTGTTCAATCTGTAAGAAAGTGTTTGGGCAAGGATCTAATCTCAGAGCACATATGAGGACACACACAGGGGAGAAACCATTCAGCTGTTCAGTCTGTAAGAAAACATTTGCCCAAAAGCACTATCTTGACACACATATGAGGACACACACAGGAGAGAAACCATTCAGCTGTTCAGTCTGTAAGAAAGCGTTTGCTGTAAGATATACTCTCAAAAAACATATGAGGGGACACACAGGAGAGAAATCAGTCAACTGTTCAATCTGTAAGAAAGTGTTTGCTGAAAGATATACTCTCAAAATACATATGAGCACACACACAGGGGAGCAACCATTCAGCTGTTCAGTCTGTAAGAAAGTGTTTGCTTATAGATATGAACTCAAAATACATATGAGGACACACACAGGGGAGAAACCATTCAGCTGTTCAGTCTGTAAGAAAGTGTTTGCGCAAGGATATAATCTCAAAGCACACATGAGGACACACACAGGGGAGAAACCATTCAGCTGTTCAGTCTGTAACAAAGTGTTTGCTGTCAGATATGACCTCAAAAGACATATGAGGACCCACACAGGGGAGAAACCATTCAGTTGTTCAGTCTGTAAGAAAGTGTTTGCGCAAAAAGGTAATCTCAAAGCACATATGAGGACACACACAGGGGAGAAACCATTCAGCTGTTCAGTATGTAAGAAAGTGTTTGTGCAAGGATCTAATCTCAAAACACATATGAGGACACACACAGGGGAGAAAGCTAGATCAGGGGTTGGCAACCTTAAATCCTCAAAGAGCCACTTGAAGCATCTCCCACAGAAAACAAAACACCCACAGCCACAAATCCCTTGTGACATCTAAAATGAGGAGAACACTGCAGTTCTTTTTTTTTTACCTGCTACGTATACAAGACTATAGTGTTTTACATTTATGAAGTCAATGAGATGCTACAGAGAACACGGAATTTTATTTCTGCATGTAACAAAAAACATTTTGAACTCCGAAAAAAGAGTCTTGGTTGATACTTACTTTCAAATGAAGTTCTCAGTGTCTATTTAAGTCTTCGTAGGTAATAAAAATCCAAACTTAAATTATCCATCTGCAGTGAACCAAAAATGTGTCTGCTTTTGAGTTCATGTAGCATTAAACATTCTCTTTTCTTCAGAAATGTTTCTTTTGTTGGATTTATCCATCCACCTACCAGAGCTCGAAAAGCTCAATAAATCATGCTGCTGGTGTAGGTGCCTGTAAGTCCGGGTTGCCAGATCTGTGCTGGGAGTCGCACATCGGCTGCTGTGATGCATATTTAGAGCGACTGTTATAAGATTACCATTATCTTCAAATTTAAAATTACATTTAAAAATGAACAAACTAAAATAAAAATACATTGTAATTAGATACTCATTTATTTTCTAAAGTCACAGGGAGCCACAAAAGAAGGATGAAAGAGCCACTGGTGGCTCTGGAGCCGCGGGTTGCCGAACCCTGACTTAGATAAATGGACATATCTAATGCTCTAGCCGCCGTGTTCCAAGTAGGAAGTTTGCATTTGGGTCTTAAAATGTTTGTATTAACCTGCCGTACATGATTCTGCTGTTTTTTCTGCTGTTTTATTCATTTAAAAAATCCTATTCATAAAATACATATTTATTACAGTTTGTGTTTTTATCACTTTTTCTACATTTAAGGGTCAGTCCAGGTGAAATCAGCCAGCCTCCCCTATCAGCCATCTCAGATTTGGCTGGAAATTAAAATAAAATAAATCTAAAATTACCAAATAAACGAATCTCAAATTTTAGCTCAATCTCTTGAGTCGTTCATGAGTTATGGCTTGTTGAAATGTTGGGGCCATGCTCACTTTTTCAGAAGCCGTAATTTATAAGCATGTTTGAGAGACCATAACTTCATAAAAAATAGAGCTAGGAAGCTGAAAATTTGTATTATTGTAGATTCTTAGATGAGTAGCTCATAGATTCTGAATCTGTTGTCAAATATTGGGTATCTTTATTAAGGGGGGCGCTTAATAACACATGTCCCAGGTGTCCCTAGTTTTAACCAATCTGATCCCTGCCGACAGTAAAGAGAGGCATAAACTGTCATTTGTTGTTTTTGAATATACATTTTGTGATCTCCATAAACATTCTAAACTATTGCTAAAAAGTAAATATAAATACAATATTCTATACAAAATCCGTCGTTTACGGCCATACCACCCTGAACACGCCCGATCTCGTCTGATCTCGGAAGCTAAGCAGGGTCGGGCCTGGTTAGTACTTGGATGGGAGACCGCCTGGGAATACCAGGTGCTGTAAGCTTTTACTTTTCTTCTCTTGTTCCAAATTTAATTTATAAGCATAACATTTTTAGAAACAAGAGAAAAACGAAACACTTTGGCCTTTACGTGACTGTACGCGTCTTAGTTTTACTATTACTGTGACTTACTACTACACTACTCCAATGTGACCAGAAGAGGGCGCTGTCCTGATACTTTTCTACATAGAAAAGTCCCTTTTTATTCACTTAATTTAACTCTGTCAGGTTCAACAGAACAGACTGTAACATAGTTAAAAGTCATGAAAAAAGAAAAGAAAGTAAAACATAACCAATTTATATGTGTAGCTAAAGACACTGCAGCAATTATTATTTATCTACGATAAGTCACTTTAAGATAAGACTGCACGATATATCACAATCATGTTTATACATCTACAAACATGAAATGTGTGGGGTTTTTGGATGAGTTCATCAGGTCATATTTTAGTGTTGTACAAATGTTTGTATTCCTGGAGTCAGTCACAATGCGCATTTCCGCACATAATCCTACTTTTTAAACATACATGCGAGTCAAACTACTTGTTGTAAAGAAAGAATTGTGTATCAAAACCAGACTACCTGAGTGTTCTACAGATTTGAAACAGTCAAATAAAACATGAAACAGTCGAGTGCAGAATGAAAAGCTTACAGCACCTGGTATTCCCAGGCGGTCTCCCATCCAAGTACTAACCAGGCCCGACCCTGCTTAGCTTCCGAGATCAGACGAGATCGGGCGTGTTCAGGGTGGTATGGCCGTAAGCGACAGATACACTGATGGATACTCTGTTTATCTCTATATTCAAGTCTACGAATAAACCCGATCATTAAACTTCAAACAAGCACAATAAGCGAAATCCTTCAGAAGCCCTCAGTAATAATCAATAATCAATAAAACATAGCATTACATTAATATGAATAAAATAATAAGTCTTAGTGCTAAACTGTGCTGTACTAAGAAATTGCAAAGTTAGAACTAAACTGCAAATCACTCCTCTAAATTTAAAGTTTACAGAAAAGTGTATCTGTTTCTCCTCAAATAGCACAGACACAAGTTCCAGTCCTGATCTCAGCCCAGTGTATGAGAGCCCAAAGAGGGACACATGAGGTTGTAACTCGCTGTTTCCCAAAGACTGGGTCGTGACCCTCAGGTGGGTCACAAGAGATTATTTTTGGGTCGCCTTGTCACTATCTGCATGTGGGTCTGCAATATACAGTCACAAGAGAGAGAGCTAGTGAGTCAGTGAATCCTCTCTGCCTGCCCTGAGCGAGTGTTCCTGCAGCTAAAGTTGAGAAATGCTTGTTTGGTTGTCCAAAAAGAAGGGTGATAAATCAGCAAAGGTCAGTGCACTTCAGGATACTTACAGATCCCTCTGATTGCTGGTTCAGTTACTGTTTTTCATTGTTTCAAACTTGAGGAATACCAATTGTTCAGAGAAACACGATCACTCAGTCAACAATAAAATATCCTCATCGATGTTCAATAATGCTCAAATCCACCTTTATTTGGGGATTTATGAGTAACTTCTATTGACTTGGCTCACGAAGGTTTGTTACTTTTAAAATATGGATCCCCAGAAAAAAAGTTTGAGAAACACTGTTCGAACTGGTATAAAACTGGTATAAAACTGGTATAAAGTAGATATAAATACAATACCCTGCAGTGTGTCTGTCGCTTACGGCCATACCACCCTGAACACGCCCGATCTCGTCTGATCTCGGAAGCTAAGCAGGGTCGGGCCTGGTTAGTACTTGGATGGGAGACCGCCTGGGAATACCAGGTGCTGTAAGCTTTTCTCCTTTGCAGAGGGAGCTTTGCTGTCTTTGTATAAAAATCCACTGGCTTTATATTTTTCTGATCTCATTCTAAATCATATGATCAACTGGTCTTTCTCACTTCACTGGAGTAAAGCGTAGGCTGCGTGCTTTTGAAGCCTTACCAACACCTCCCCCAGTGGTGAAGTGCTGAAGTGGTTTGAGGTCGTCAGAAGAGGAGGAGGGGGAGGGGCCACGTGAGGCGAGGGGAGGAGGAGGAGGAGAGACCATGCTCTAAGTCAAACATACTGGAGAGGAACACGAGAGAAAAAACACTTTGGGCAAATGCATCTTTTTAACAATTGTGTCATGAGCAGCTTTTAAAGAGTAAAATCAAAAGTATTACTCAGCCCTCTGCAAAAGAGAAAAAGCTTACAGCACCTGGTATTCCCAGGCGGTCTCCCATCCAAGTACTAACCAGGCCCGACCCTGCTTAGCTTCCGAGATCAGACGAGATCGGGCGTGTTCAGGGTGGTATGGCCGTAAGCGACAGAATCTGACATGGACACTGTTTTTATATCTAGATTTAGGACTATGAATAAAGTTTCGTGATCTTCAGTCTCCTGCGTCAGCGCGCTCTGCTGTCTCCAAGAACTGTGCTGGAAAAATCTTGACAAGACAAAATGAGATTATGCACTGTCCACATGAGGGCGCTGAACAAATCTTACAAGCCTATTTGTTAAAGTCCAGTGTGCATGGGACTACGTTACCCATGATGCACCTGATTGTAGTTCGGGAAAGCTCGGGCTCCACAACTTCCGTTCTGTGTTGTTGTTGTTGTGCAGCAGTAACGGAGCGTCGTGCTGCTCTCGGGCATCGTGCGTGTTCTTATGTGTATGAGTGCCGTGTGCGTTCGTGCGATGTGAGTATTGTTTAGAAGTGAGTGCGAATGTATGTTTTGTCAGTTTATTTAATTGTGTAGTTTTTATAATTATAAATTAACGCTATAGACCTTTTTGACAACGCCCGGAAGTACGCTTTGCTATGGCAAAATATCTTTGGAAGTGTCTGGCGTATTTTCCACCAGTTCCATAAATCTGCCCCATCTCCAAATCTTCAACCAACAAGGTCGACAAAGGACATATTCTGTCCATGAAGAATTATCAAGGTAAGAAAGACAAAAACGTAAAGGAGAACGACGACGACGCATGAGTGAACTTCTGAACAAAACTAATATTATGGTCATGAATAAAACAGAAGTAATAAGTAATTTGTTAAGTAACTTGTGAACTCAGACCGATTCTAGGATTAAAGTTAAAAATCGATTTCATGATGTAGATATTAGCATAGGCAGAGAGATTTGTGCAGTTTAAACGCTACAGATGTTCACAGATTACATGTCTAATGTTTAAACTGCACAAATCTCTCTGTCTGTGCTAATATCCACATCATGAAATCGATTTTTAATTTTAATTGTAGAATCATTCTGAGTGAACAAGTTACTTCTGTTTTATTCATGACCATAATGTTAGTTTTGTTCAGTAGTTCACTAATGTGTCGTCGTTGTTGTTCTCCTTCATGTTTTCGTCTTTTTTACCTTGATAGTTGTGGATACATTTTTCATGGGTTAGGGTCTTTATGATGGTTCTCGACTGGGAAAAGGAGGCTTGTCCTCTCCGGGTGGGTAGAGTATCCCTGCCTCAAGTGGAGGAGTTCAAGTATCTCAGGGTCTTGTTCATGAGTGAGGGGAGGAAGGAGCGTGAGATTGACAGGTAGATCAGTACAGCGTCGACAGTGATGCGGTCGCTGTATCAGACCGTTGTGGTGAAGAGGGAGCTGAGTTGAAAGGTGAAGCTCTTGATTTACTGCTTAACCTACGTTCCTCCCCTCACCTATGGTCATGAGCTCTGGGTAATGACCGAAAGGACAAGATCGCGGATACAAGTGGCTGAAATGATTTTCTTCTGCAGGTTGTCTGGGCGCTCCTTTTGAGATAGGGTGAAGAGCTCAATCACACAGGAGGAGCTCGGAGTAGAGCCGCTGCTCCTTCACGTCCAGAGGAGCAGCTGAGGTGGCTCGGACATCTGCTCCGAATGCCTCCTGGGCAGTGTTCTGAGGTGTTCTTGGTACATTCCACCAAGAGGCCTCGGGGAAGACCCAGGACACGCTGGAGGGACAATGTCTCTGGGCTGGCCTGGGAACACCTCGGGGTCCCCCCAGAAGAGCTGGAGGACGTGTGCGTGGAAAGGAAAGTCTGAGAGTCCCTACTTAGACTGCTGCCTCCGTGACCCGGCCCCGAATAAACATAAGAAAATGGTTGGATGGATGGAAATTCTTCATGGACAGAATATGTAATTTGTGGACCTTGTTGGTTGAAGATTTGGTGATGGGGCAGATTTATGAAGATGGTGGAAAATATACCAGATATTCTGCCATCAAAAAGCACTGACGTCATCACGTTGACCCTACATCACAACACTTCCGGCTCTTGTGAAAAAGGTCTATTGTACGGTGCGACGCTCCCATGGTCTACGGGTGCTCCACGTGTAATTTATGTATTGTGTTGGAGCCCCCACCTGTGGTTCCTCTGTGTAATAGCATGTATTTTTTTCAGTTCATTTCATATAGTTTGTTCTCTAATGTATGTATTTCTTGTTTTTGTTTTCCAGATAACCACACACATGTAACCATCAAAAAACATTGTTAAATATCCCCTGCCCCTCCTCCTCAATAAACATCTACCTTTGTACAAGTGGAGTGGCCTGTCCTTCTGACCGAGGAAAACTCAGTTGAAGACACGTCAGTAATCAGTGCATTCTGGACGCACACAGTACCTTACACTACTCTTCTTATCATACGTGGAGACTATAGCGATTAGCTGCTGCAGCTCTCACACATGAACAGATTGTTTTCTATTGGTCTATTGTAAATTGACTACATTGGCCGTGTATTTGCTACTGGACCTGCATTGATATGTAAATGAGCTGTGAATAGACGTGTGAATTATGACATTTGCACATATAATTAATTACCGCGGCGCACAGCATTTACGGCTAAAGGCTAATAGCGGTAGTTTCTTTATTAGCTAGTAGTTATGGGTCGGTTGCGAACAAAACCTCTCTTAGAGCCGGCTCTTTGAAGCGAACGACGGGAGCCTGCTCCTTATTCGGAGCTGTGCTTTCTCTTTTTCTCACTTTTTTTCTCTTCACATCGCATGCAGACTTGTGGTAGTTTGACAGCGGCAGCGGCTGAAAACAAAACTTTCAGAAATATGTGTGTGCGTAGGATTAAAAAAAAGTGCATGTTTGGCTGTAGTTCAGCATAAAATAACTAAACCAGGACTAATCTTGGGCTCGAGAGAGGGAGAGAGATAGAGACTGAGTCCCGACATTGGTTCAATCCTGCTTTAGTCCTGCTTTAGTCCTGCTTTAGACCTGCTTTAGACCTGCTTTAGACCTGCTTTTAGACCTCGTTTAGACCTGGTTTAGTACTGGTTTAGACCTGCTTGCGACAAAACGATCTGAAGAGTCGCTTGGGAGCCGAAAGAGCCAGCTGCTTTTAGTGAGCCAACCTAGAAAAGCTGGTTCTCTAAAAAGAACTGGAATACCCATCACTAGTAGCTAGAAAGTGATGCAAAAATGCCATTAGGCCGACCTACTGTCTGTAAATATGACGTAAAGCGTCAGAATAACAATAAATGTTGCCTAAATGAACCCAATTTAAAATCCACCAGAGCCAAACCTACGTTTTTTAAACAATTCAGGATTTACAGTGAATTTTTACATCACTTAATATATCGGCGATTATATCGGCTATCGGCAGCTCCAACTACCGTTATATCAGTTTCATATTGGCCACAGCAAAATCCATATCGGTTGGGCCCTAGTTTGAACCACACGCTGTATATATGTTTATGTTTGATACAGTCTATGTTTTGAACCCGGGTCTGGGGCAATTCTTTTTTGAATAGCACTGATCTCTGCATTCTGATTGGCTGTGCTGCGTCACAGCAACACGTGGTTGACCAGCTCATTCTGATTGGCTGACTGTGGAGTGAACTTTAGTCTAAAAACTGTCAGAACTTTATTTATTGTGTTATTTAGGATGTTAATGTGAACATTTTGTTAGTGCTATAACCTGAAGTCTGACATTAGGCTAAAAGATCTAAACAAAACAAGAAATAAAACAACAGTTTGTGTATGTTCAGAGCAGTTCTGAACCAACTTAACAATACAAATTTGAACTGACCGTTGCACAGAACGCTTTTTACCAATAGCTAACAGAAGCACCACCAGTAACAGAAACACCATCTGTAACTGTAGAGCAAAGCCGTAGCACTTTGGCAAATTTTTTTTATATGTCCACAGGGTTTAGAGCGTTTGTGGAGGAGTGTCTGGGTGCTGGTGTGCAGGACATATGTGGGCTGTTGAAGAGCACCATGGCGCACTATGAGGAGCTGCGCCGCTCCAAACCTGAGAACCAGCAGCTCTTGGACTCTGCTCTGAGCCCGAGGGTCATGTTCGTCAGAGCCGGTAAGTCTTAGTATGGATCTTAATTTTTGACTCTGGGTGTTAAAAAGTGCATAGAAAAATGCCTATGATGTAGAAAAGAGCTGGTTATAAATGTGGGCCATGGCTGTAACGGCCGAAGAACCTGTATGATTCCAAATCACTTTAGATACTGACTCAAAAGTATTTACAACTTCATGGACAGAAAAGACATCCCATCAGCCTTAAAGTAGAAGACTACAGACAAGTTCACAGTGTTCATGTCACAACACTGCACGTGTATGTGTAAGTGTGTATTCTCTTGTGTCCTGCAGCTGTCCAGCTCCCCTCTCTGAGCCCTGGTCTGACTCCACACATTAAAGAAGAACACAACATCAAACAGGAGGAGACTGAGCTGCAAGTGTGAGTCTCAGACATTTTCAAACTGCTATTCTTTATTTTGTTGTTCATCCTTAATCATTTCTATTACAAATATTCAAACTGGGTTTGAAATATACAAATGTATCTTCTATTTTTCAGCTCTGTCCCAGAGTTTAGTGCTGTGAGCGTGAAAACAGAAGAGTCCTCACTACTTCTACAAAGACAAACTGAGCAGAGAGAGGACACACAGGAGGAGGACATCAAAACAGAGACACATGTCCACAGAGAGGACACACAGGAGGAGGACATCAAAACAGAGACACATGTCCACAGAGAGGACACACAGGAGGAGGACATCAGAGCAGACTCAGAGACTGAGGGAGACACAGAGCACTCTTCTGACACTGACAGTGATGAAGACTGGAGAGCTCCATTCAGCTGTTCACCTGCACACATGGACACAAGGACTGATGGAGACATGTCTGCACCAGAGACCAGAGCCACTGTGAACTATGGAGACATGTCAGGAACTGGAGAAGGAGCTGAGAGCAGGAAACACAAGTGCTCTGTTTGTAAAGAGAGATTTGGGTCTAAATATAAACTACAAATACACAGGAGAGTTCACACAGGAGAGGAACCATTCACCTGTTCAGTTTGTATGAAAGTGTTTGCTGCAAGATATGACCTCAAAATACATATGAGGACACACACAGGAGAGAAACCATTCAGCTGTTCAGTCTGCAAGAAAGTGTTTGTACAAGGATCTAATCTCAAAACACATATGAGGACACACACAGGGGAGAAACCATTCAGCTGTTCAATCTGTAAGAAAACATTTGCCCAAAAGCACAATCTTGACACACACATGAGGACACACACAGGGGAGAAACCATACAGCTGTTCACTCTGTAACAAAGTGTTTGCTGACGGTTCTACTCTCAGAAAACATATGAGGAAACACACAGGGGAGAAACCATTTAGCTGTTCAGTCTGTAAGAAACTTTTTGCCCGAAAGGGTTATCTTGACACACACATGAGTACACACACAGGAGAGAAACCATTCAGCTGTTCAGTCTGTAAGAAAACATTTGCCCAAAAGGGTCATCTTGACACACATATCAGTACACACACAGGGGACAAATCATTCAACTGTTCAGTTTGTAAGAAAACATTTGCCCGAAAGCCCACTCTTGACACACACATGAGAACACACACAGGGGAGAAGCCATTCAGCTGTTCAGTCTGTAAGAAAACATTTGCCCAAAAGGGTCATCTTGACACACATATGAGGACACACACAGGGGAGAAATCATTCAGCTGTTCAGTCTGTAAAAAAACATTTGCCCAAAAGGTTCATCTTGACACACATATGAGGACACACACAGGGGAGAAATTATTCAGCTGTTCAGTCTGCAAGAAAGGGTTTGCTGTAAGACCTACTCTCAAAAAACATGAGGACACACACAGGGGAGAAACCATTCAGCTGTTCAGTCTGTAATAAAGTCTTTGCACAAGGATGTAATCTCAAAGCACATATGAAGACACACAGTGGAGAAAGCTAGACACCCAGAACCACAAAACCATTTTGACACCTGAAATGAGGAGAACACTGCAGTTCTTTTTTTTTTTTCTACCTGCTATGTATAAAAGGCTATAGTGTGTCTGCTTCTGAGTTCCGTCATCATTTTATCACGTGTAAACCAGTCTCATCAGTGGTGAAATCAAATGCATCTGTCCATGTAGCATTAAACATTCTCTTTTCTTCAGAAATGTTTCTTTTCTTGGATTTATCCATCCACCTACCAGGGCTCGAAAAGATCAATAAATCACGCTGCTGGTGTAGGTGCCTGTAAGTCCGGGTTGCCAGATCTGTGCTGGGTGTCGCACATCGGCGGCTGTGATGCATATGGGTCAGTCCGTATGAAATGAGCCATTTTCAAGGAACAAACCTTTTTTCATAATTTTGTACAGAGTTAATTTCTTAAAGAATTAATGACACTTTTCCAAGCAATGTACCACAAATACTTAAACTCCACCAAAAGTGACCTGTGAGAGCTCATTTTCAAAAATGTCGTTTGAAATGAAGGAAGTTGATAGTAGATGTTTTTATTACTTTAAACTGATCAGAATATGCCAAAGTTTCTTTGGTAAAAAATGTATCAACATCTAACTGTGCCACATGGGGAACCGAAGCTCCAAAGAAGGGGCCAAAAAGATCACATTTGGTTCTGTGACCATATTTGGGCCTCTACACCATCCACATGAAAGCTCAGAAAAGTGTGAGATTGTTGTCAAAAATGGTCATTCTCTCAAATATTCAGGTTCAGCAGTTAGTTTGTAAATATCTGCTTGGAGTAAATAGATCTTGGACCTCAAAAATTGAAAAAAAAAATTCAACGGCAAACAAATGTGACATTTTGGGGGCCCACAGCGCCCCTCTTAATAAAGATACCCAATATCTGACAAAAGATTCAGCATCTATGACCAAGAATCTACAAGAAAAACTGAGCATGGCCTCAAAATTTCAATGGGCCATAACTCAGGAACGACTCAAGGGATTGAGCTAAAATTTGAGATTCTTTCATTTGGTCATTTTAGAAATGTTTTGAAATTTTTTCAGCCAAATCTGAGATGGCTCATATGGGAGGGTGGCTGATTTCATATGGACTGACCCATATTTAGAGAGACAAAAACTACTAAAAACATTTTATTTTAATGTTATAAGATTACCATTATCTGCAAATTTAGAATTACATTTAAAAACAAACTAAAATAAAAATACATTGTAATTAAATACTCATTTATTTTCTAAAGTCACAGGGAGCCACAAAAGAAGGATTAAAGAGCCACAGGTGGCTCTGGAGCTGTGGGTTGCCAAACCCTGACATAGATAAATGGACATATCTAATGCTCTAGCCGCCGTGTTCCGAATAGGAAGTTTGCATTTTGGACTTAAAATGTTTGTATTAAACTGCCGTACATGATTCTGCTGTTTTTTCTGCTCATAATATTCATAATATAGATTTATTACAGTTTGTGTTTTTATCACTTTTTCTACATTTAAGGGTCAGTCCAGGTGAAATCAGCCAGCCTCCCCTATCAGCCATCTCAGATTTGGCTGAAAATAAAAATTAAAAAAATCTAAAATTACCAAATAAACTAATCTCAAATTTTAGCTCAATCTCTTGAGTCGTTTTATGACTTGTTGAAATTTTGAGGCCATGCTCACTTTTTCAGAAGCCGCAATTTATAAGCATGTTTGAGAGACCATAACTTCATAAAAAATAGAGCTAGGAAGCTGAAAATTTGTATTATTGTAGCTTCTTAAATTAGTAGCTCATAGATTCTGAATCTATTGTCAAATATTGGGTATCTTTATTAAGGGGGCGCTTAATAACACATAGAATAAAAAAGAACATCTTCCAAATAAACGGGCTGAATTGTGGCTCACAGTGAGAAACTGCAAAACCACAAACTCTCTCTTCAAACACTCACTTATACTTTTAGCAATATATATATATATATATATATATATATATATATATATATATATATATATATATATATATATATATATATATATTATATTTATTTATTTTTTTTTTTTTTTTTTTTGAATATACTTTACAATAGGGGGACCAGACGTCCCTTTTTACCCGGGACAGTCCCAGTTTTGAGTCTGTGTCCTCTGTCCCAGCAGATTTATATAAAATTTGTCCCAGTTTTATACAAGAAATATCCCAGGTGTCCCCATTTATGACCAATCTGATCCCTGTCGACAGTAAAGAGAGGCATAAACTGTCATTTGTTGTTTTTGAATATACATTTTGTGATCTCCATAAACATTCTAAACTATTGCTAAAAAGTAAATATAAATACAATATTCTATACAAAGTCCGTCGTTTACGGCCATACCACCCTGAACACGCCCGATCTCGTCTGATCTCGGAAGCTAAGCAGGGTCGGGCCTGGTTAGTACTTGGATGGGAGACCGCCTGGGAATACCAGGTGCTGTAAGCTTTTACTTTTCTTCTCTTGTTCCAAATTTAATTTATAAGCATAACATTTTTAGAAACAAGAGAAAAACGAAACACTTTGGCCTTTACGTGACTGTACGCGTCTTAGTTTTACTATTACTGTGACTTACTACTACACTACTCCAATGTGACCAGAAGAGGGCGCTGTCCTGATACTTTTCTACATAGAAAAGTCCCTTTTTATTCACTTAATTTAACTCTGTCAGGTTCAACAGAACAGACTGTAACATAGTTAAAAGTCATGAAAAAAGAAAAGAAAGTAAAACATAACCAATTTATATGTGTAGCTAAAGACACTGCAGCAATTATTATTTATCTACGATAAGTCACTTTAAGATAAGACTGCACGATATATCACAATCATGTTTATACATCTACAAACATGAAATGTGTGGGGTTTTTGGATGAGTTCATCAGGTCATATTTTAGTGTTGTACAAATGTTTGTATTCCTGGAGTCAGTCACAATGCGCATTTCCGCACATAATCCTACTTTTTAAACATACATGCGAGTCAAACTACTTTGTGTTGTAAAGAAAGAATTGTGTATCAAAACCAGACTACCTGAGTGTTCTACAGATTTGAAACAGTCAAATAAAACATGAAACAGTCGAGTGCAGAATGAAAAGCTTACAGCACCTGGTATTCCCAGGCGGTCTCCCATCCAAGTACTAACCAGGCCCGACCCTGCTTAGCTTCCGAGATCAGACGAGATCGGGCGTGTTCAGGGTGGTATGGCCGTAAGCGACAGAATCTGACGTGGACAATGTTTTTATATCTAGATTTAGGACTATGAATAAAGCTGTGATCTTCAGTCTCCTGCGTCAGCGCGCTCTGCTGTCTCCAAGAACTGTGCTGGAAAAATCTTGACAAGACAAAATGAGATTATGCTCCTTCCACTGTCCACATGAGGGCGCTATACTGAACACTGAACAAATGTTACAAGCCTATCTGTTGTTTGCAGTGTGCATGGGACTACGTTACCCATGATGCACCTGATTGTAGTTCGGGAAAGCTCGGGCTCCACAACTTCCGTTCTGTGTTGTTGTTGTTGTTGTGCAGCAGTAACGGAGCGTCGTGCTGCTCTCGGGCATCGTGCGTGTTCTTGTGTGTATGAGTGCCGTGTGCGTTCGTGCGATGTGAGTATTGTTTAGAAGTGAGTGCGAATGTATGTTTTGTCAGTTTATTTAATTGTGTAGTTTTTATAATTATAAGTTAACGCTATAGACCTTTTTGACAACGCCCGGAAGTGCCGCGATGTAGGGTAAACCACGTGACTTACGTTTGCGCTTTTCTATGGCAAAATATCTTTGGAAGTGTCTGGCGTATTTTCCACCAGTTTCATAAATCTGCCCCATCTCCAAATCTTCAACCAACAAGGTCGACAAAGGACATATTCTGTCCATGAAGAATTATCAAGGTAAGAAAGACAAAAACGTAAAGGAGAACGACGACGACGCATGAGTGAACTTCTGAACAAAACTAATGTTATGGTCATGAATAAAACAGAAGTAATAAGTAATTTGTTAAGTAACTTGTGAACTCAGACCGATTCTAGGATTAAAGTTAAAAATCGATTTCATGATGTACATTAGACATGTAATCTGTGAACGTCTGTAGCATTTAAACTGCACAAATCACTCTGCCTATGCTAATATCTACATCATGAAATCGATTTTTAATTTTAATCCTAGAATCGGTCAGAGTGAACAAGTTACTTATGTTTTATTCATGGACATAATGTTAGTTTTGTTCAGTAGTTCACTAATGTGTCGTCGTTGTTGTTCTCCTTCATGTTTTCGTCTTTCTTACCTTGATAGTTGTGGATAAGTTTTTCATGGTTTAGGGTCTTTACGATGGTTCTCAACTGGAAAAAGGAGGCTTGTCCTCTCCGGGTGGGTGGAGCATCTCTGCCTCAAGTGGAGGAGTTCAAGTATCATGAGTGAGGGGAGGATGGAGCGTGAGATTGACAGGTAGATCAGTGCAGTTTGTGCAGTGATGTATCGGACCGTTGTGGTGAAGAGGGAGCTGAGCCGAAAGGTAAAGCTCTCAATTTACTGCTCAACCTACATTCCTATGGTCATGAGCTCTGGGTAATGACCGAAAGAACGAGATCGCGGATACAAGCAGCTGAAATTAGTTTCCTCCGCAGGGTGGCTGGGCGCTCCCTTAGAGATAGGATGAGGAGCTCAGTCACACAGGAGGAGTTCGGAGTAGAGCCGCTGCTCCTTCACGTCCAGAGGAGCAGCTGAGGTGGCTCGGACATCTGCTCCACTGACATACGTGACGTTGACCCTACATCACAACACTTCCGGCTCTTGTGAAAAAGGTCTATTGTACGGTGCGACGCTCCCATGGTCTACGGGTGCTCCATGTGTAATTTATTTATTGTGTTGGAGCCCCCACCAGTGGTTCCTCTGTGTAATAGCATGTATTTTTTCTGTTCATTTCATAGAGTTTGTTCTCTAATGTATATAATTCTTGTTTTTGTTTTCCAGATAACCACACACGTAACCAACAAAAAACATTGTTAAATATCCCCTGCCCCTCCTCCTCAATAAACATCTACCTTTGTACAAGTGGAGTGGCCTGTCCTTCTGACCGAGGAAAACTCAGTTGAAGACACATCAGTAATCAGTGCATTCTGGACGCACACAGTACCTTACACTACTCTTCTTATCATACGTGGAGACTATTACAATGCCTAATTGAGTACATTTTAGGGGAAGGCCTAATCATAATATTCTTTTTGTAGATTTCTAAACCTGCAGCCAACTTGAAACTGTTACTGTGTAGGCTAAATCGTAAAGGAGTTTCCAGTGCCTATAGGAGTCCATGTTTACGTTAAGTAATACATAAGTGATATGCAACATGGAGCGTCCTGATATTAAACGTCTGTCATGTAACTCACCTGGCTATGGAGGCAATTCTAAATCTAAGTCCAGGTAAGTCTAATTTGCCATTTTTAAATGTACAAACAGTGACATCAACTTAAACATTTGATAAAATCATAATTAAAAGTTTTTGTTTATTACTGCAATCTTGCTTCTTCTGATTCAAGCAGGGTTTGAACCACAGACCCTATATATGTTTATGTTTGATACAGTCTATGGTTTGAACCCGGGTCTGGGGTAATTCTTTTATGAACAGCACTGATCTCTGCATTCTGATTGGCTGTGCTGTGTCACAGCAACACGTGGTTGACCAGCTCATTCTGATTGGCTGACTGTGGAGTGAACTTTAGTCTAAAAACTGTCAAAACTTTATTTACTGTGTTATTTAGGATGTTAATGTGAACATTTTGTTAGTGCTATAACCTGAAGTCTGACATTAGGCTAAAAGATCTAAACAAAATAAGAACTAAAACAACAGCAGTTCTGAACCAACTTAACAATACAAATTTGAACTGACCGTTGCACAGAACGCTTTTTACCAATAGCTAACAGAAGCACCACCAGTAACAGAAACACTATCTGTAACTGTAGGGCAAAGCCGTAGCACTTTGGCAAAAAAAAAAAAAAAATGTGTATGTCCACAGGGTTTAGAGCGTTTGTGGAGGAGTGTCTGGGTGCTGGTGTGCAGGACATATGTGGGCTGTTGAAGAGCACCATGGTGGACTATGAGGAGCTGCGCCGCTCCAAACACAAGAACCAGCAGCTCTTGGACTCTGCTCTGAGCCCGAGGGTCGTGCTCGTCAGGGCCGGTAAGTCTTATGGATCGCATGGATCGTAATTTTTGGCTCTGGGTGTTAAAAAGTGCATAGAAAAATGCCTATGATGTAGAAAAGAGCTGGTTATAAATGTGGGCCATGGTTGTAACGGCCAAAGAAGCTGTATGACTCTAAATCACTTTAGATACTGACTCAAAAGTATTTACAACTTCATGGACAGAAAAGACATCCCATCAGCCTTAAAATAGAAGACTACAGACAAGTTCACAGTGTTCTTGTCACACATGTATGTGTAAGTGTGTATACTCTTGTCTCCTGCAGCTGTCCAGCTCCCCTCTCTGAGCCCTGGTCTGACTCCACACATTAAAGAAGAACACAACATCAAACAGGAGGAGACTGAGCAGCAAGTGTGAGTCTCAGACATTTTCAAACTGCTATTCTTTATTTTGTTACTCATTCTTAATCATTTCTATTACAAATATTCAAACTGGGTTTGAAATATACAAATGTATCTTCTATTTTTCAGCTCTGTCCCAGAGTTTAGTGCTGTGAGCGTGAAAACAGAAGAGTCCTCACTACTTCTACAAAGACAAACTGAGCAGAGAGAGGACACACAGGAGGAGGACATCAAAGCAGAGACACATGTCCACAGAGAGGACACACAGGAGGAGGACATCAAAGCAGAGACACAAGTCCACAAAGAGGACACACAGGGGGAGGACATCAAAACAGAGACACATGTCCACAGAGAGGACACACAGGAGGAGGACATCAGAGCAGACTCAGAGACTGAGGGAGACACAGAGCACTCTTCTGACACTGACAGTAATGAAGACTGGAGAGCTCCATTCAGCTGTTCACCTGCACACATGGACACAAGGACTGATGGAGACATGTCTGCACCAGAGACCAGAGCCACTGTGAACTATGGAGACATGTCAGGAACTGGAGAAGGAGCTGAGAGCAGGAAACACAAGTGCTCTGTTTGTAAAGAGAGATTTGGGTCTAAATATAAACTACGAATACACAGAAGAGTTCACACAGGAGAGGAACCATTCACCTGTTCAGTCTGTAAGAAAATGTTTGTTGTAAGGTATGACCTCAAAAGACATATGAGGACACACACAGGGGAGAAACCATTCAGCTGTTCAGTCTGTAAGAAAACATTTGCCCAAAAGGCTCATCTTGACACACATATGAGTACACACACAGGGGAGAAATCATTCAGCTGTGCAGTCTGTAAAAAAGTGTTGGCTGTAAGACTTACTCTTAAAAGACATATGAGGACACACACAGGAGAGAAACCATTCAGTTGTTCAGTTTGTAAGAAAGTATTTGCCCGAAAGCATCATCTTGATACACATATAATGACACACACAGGAGAGAAACCATTCAACTGTTCTGTTTGTACGAAAGTGTTTGCCCGAAAGCATCATCTTGACATACACATGAGGACACACACAGGGGAGAAATCATTCAGCTGTTCAGTGTGTAAGAATGTGTTTGCTGTAAGACTTACTCTCCAAAGACATATGAGGACACACACAGGGGAGAAACCATTCAGCTGTTCAGTTTGTAAGAAAGTATTTGCCCGAAAGCATCATCTTGACACACATATGAGGACACACACAGGGAAGAAAGCTTTCTGCTGTTCAGTCTGCAAGAAAGTGTTCGGTTATAGTTCTACTCTCAAAAGACATATGAGGACACATTGACTGCACATATAAATGGACATAGCTGACACACTAGCCGCTGCGTTCTAAATAGGAAGTTTGCATGCAGCTCTTCGGCTTCTGTAGACTCTGGCTCCCTTTTATTTTCATTGGAATATCAGGGCCTCTCTCTCTGTAACTGCTGCTGTGACCCTCATCAGTTTGGTCTTAAAATGTTTGTATTAAATCGCCATACATAATAATGCAGTTTTTTCTGCTATTTTATTCATTTTAAAATCCTATTTATAAAATAGATTTATTACAGTTTGTGTTTTTATCACTTTTTGTACATTTAAGAGTTTTTATGGTTAAACCTGCTGTTGGGTCAGTGGCATAAATTTGTTTCAGTGTTATAGTTTGTCTATATTTTCTTCAAAAATATATCATTCTTCACTTTGTTCTTTACTTTATTTTTTACTTTTTTTGTCCCAAGACTACTTAATTCTGTTTTTTATTTATACATAACATTATTTTTCAATCTGAATTTATGTGATTTGAATCTGTATATATAAGAAATAATAAACCTAATCAGTTCTCCAGTGGAATCTTCTCTACAAGTGTCAGTGTTACCAAGTGCACCCACAGACTACACTGTGGTCTTAAAAAAAAAAAAAAAAAAAAAAAATTGTTGCTAAAAGGGAACGTGTCAAGTTAGATTCCAAATAATTATTGTTCACTACTGAACTTCCAACAATTAAAACATTTGTATCATGACATGAAGCAGGACTCTAAATCACCATTAGGCCAGATTTCTTTGATATGTTAGGAGTGAAAAAAGTCAAGGTTTTCTGTATTGTTACTCACAAGAAACAATTTAGTGTATGATTTTGAATATTATAGTAATAGTAATAGTAATAGTAACAGTAATAGTAATAGTATTGCTGGGTTTCACATGACCTCCAAACTTTTTCGGTCAATATGAATGAATAGAGATGGGGGCAGTTCAGATGCATGTTGAAGAATAGTGCAGAGTCTAGACTGCAGCAGGGCAGTGTGGGAGTCTGTCTGTTAATGTTTCATTAATGTCATAGTGTTTTTATATTTTATTCATTAGCAGAAAAATTACATTTTTTTCACATCTTACATTTTTTCACATCTTTCACATCATGTATACAATTCAAACATGTTGAAATTGAATCAATATCTTGACTCGTGTATCAAGATACAGTTTTCCCACAATTCCACATGTAGCGTTGCATCCTGAGTATAAAAGACGATTTTCTACCAAATGTGGGATGAGCATTTGGATGTTTGATTGATGTTATTTTATTATTTTGTTAAACCTTAAATCAGAGAAATAGCTGATTGTGGCAAAAATAAAAGTCACAATTATTTGGCTCATAATTGAAATCCCAGTTATTAAATACATTTATACTGTTCAAATGAACCTGTCGAGAAAGTATAAAATTACCATTTTGAGTAAAGTGACACTTTTGTTTAAAATGTAAAAGGTTCTGTAGACTAGAAAAGTCACTTTGCCCTTCCATTTATATAGCACTTTTCAAGACACCCAAACTTTACAACAACACACACACACATACGAGTGTGGTTAGGTGGGATTAAAAGACAGATTAAGTTTATGTTTTGAGCGTTCCAGAGTACAAGAGCCTGGACACACAAGGCTCTGTCTCCCATGGTCTACAACCTGGAGCAGGGAACAGTGAGCTGAGTGAGTGTCCTGGAGCAGGTCTGAGAGGTTCTGAGGGGCCTGGGTGTGGAGGCACTTGTAGTTGAGGAGAAGAATCTTGTCCTGGATCTGGTATTTTAAGGGGAGCCAGTGCATGGTAAATGGTCACATTTTTCTATAGCACTAAGGCACTAACTAAGGCACCACTCACCCATTCACACACCAGTGTACACAGACACTATGGGCAAGGTGGATTAAGTGTCTTGCCCAAGGACACAACAACAGCATTCACCTGTGGGAGCTGTGGGTCAGTGGATCTGATCACTCAACCTGTGATGTTTATGTCAAGAGCTGGAATCAGACCGCCAACCTTCAGATCAGTGGGTGAATGCTCTACAACTGAGCTACTGCTGCCTTAGTGCAGGTGGCTTTCCACATAGTGAGTCCACATTTTGTTGGTGCTGTGTTTATGGCCTTCTCCTCCAGCTCCTCCATGAAGAACCCGCTCATGATGGCTGATAGGGTGTCATGGCGAAGCCCTCCTTCTGCCTGTATATGTGGTTGTGGATACAAAATGAGACGGGCTATGTCTTCAACTGTCAGGTTCCTGGTATCTGGGAAGTGGGACTGCAGATGGAGCTGTTGTCCTGCCGCCACCGGTAGGAAGACAGCACCAAAACATGACTCAGTGGACACGTCACAGCAACATCACGTGACCACTCTGAGGAAGAGCGCAGAGAGCAGTCTAAACTGTCAGATCTGAAAACAAACCCACAGTCTGAAAAAAAGAATCTAATAACATAAATTATCAAAAGACCAAATTAACCTCATTGGACATTTTAAGACCAGTTTGTCAATACAAAGTGAACTGGAGTCAGAAAGCGCCCATGCTCACTTCCTGTTTGAAATGCAATTAAAATCAATTGTTAAAAAGGTTTTTTTTTTCTTCAATTAATAAGAGGTGGAATATTTTTATTGAACTAAACAGATGTGACATTTGAAAACACAGAAAGAGTGAACTGCAAACTCCAAATTTCCTAAACCCAAACTATTCATTTACAGGCACTTTCTCAGTGATTGTTAACAAAGACTTAACTGTTCTGGTGCAAAATAATCATGTGAATCACAGCGTCTTCATCTTGTAATGGCACAGTATTATGAAATACTTGAGAATTAATTATTTAAAAGGTGCAACTTCAACCTGCTTGTCCACATGGTGTTTCTTCTTTGACTGAAATCTTAAACAGTGTGGTATTATTCAAATACAGATGTTTTTATTCCTAAAAAAAAAAAAAAAAAAACCTTCACAGACAGAATTTTAACAAACAAGAGGATCACAGGAAATGGCAAACAAGATCCCTCTGCAAGTCATAATCCAGTTTGTTTGTCTGGGTGCAATGTCCACTCCTTCTTACCAATACGATGCAGAACTAGCAATACTTAAAGGTGCATTATGTCATTTTTTATTTTTTTTTGGTGGAGGGTCAAATTCAGACAGAACTGTGCAATCCGATTTATTTCAGTGAAGTATATGAAACTTCTCTCACCTCACACTAAAAGTTTAGCGCTTTGCTCACAGGTGACTGAAAAACATGGCAAATTTCTGCAGAACCAGATGTTTTTTTTTTCTTTGTAAGCAGCCATGTTTGTTGTGCCGTGTGTGTCCCTGATTGGCTAATCCACCTGCCAATCTAAACTCCAGCGGATTCTCCAATGACCAGAATCACATCTTCACAAAGTTTTGAAGAAATGTGTATTCTGGAGGCTCCCAGATAAAGTTTGGCATTGAACTTATCTATCTTACATTTATTCAATAGGCTCTATTCACGCTTACGTCACAAACCAGGAAGACCTTTGGAAAGACGTGATGAAAACTTCCGGTGTAGATAAAACCCACTGAAGTAAAAGTGATCAACGGTAAAATGAAGACTGCATACGTATGTGCTGTTTGGAATCTTCTTGAATTTGGTGCCTCATCTCTTCTAATCGCATGTACCCAGTGCATTCGGAGTTGTGTGTCAGTGTGGAAATTATGAAAACTGAGGTGTGTTAGTAATTGTTGATTAGCTGAACATAACGGAACACTACAATGACATGGAGATGAAAAAAAACTGGGCATGGGAAGTTGTAATCGCATCTTTCCAAACGTCTTTCTGATTTGTGATGTAAGCATTAATTGAACCAATACATGCATCACGAATTTCAGACTTCCGGTCATTGTGCAATTCATACTGGGAAGGATTTTTCAAAAAAGTGAGCATCAAACTGCCATGTTTGTTTTCCCAGTGGGATGCATCTATTGACAAAGCCGATCTTTTCTAGTCTTTTGAACCATATCACTTTTGTTTCTGGTTCTGACATTGTCATATTTTAGTTTTGGGATTCGGAAATCATAATTGTGTGATTGTTGGATCCAAACAGCGGAAATGGCTCGAGAAATGAGCTTCTGAAGTTTATGAACTCCATAAATGCAAAAGGGAATCAGATGTGTGTGACTGCAAACCTCTGGTCAAACTGTTTTCCTTCCCAATGGAATTGAAAAATAGTGAAAGGTGAAGGCGATGGGCCATCAAAAGCAGGATCCCGTTTGTTAAGTGAGAGGTACAGAAGACAAACAGACTGAGCTGCACTTTCTTGTTCTTGTGGTTTTACAGCAACATCACGTCTTGGTGTCTTTGCAGTGGAAGGTGTTTCTTGGTGAACAGCTGGTGCCTTTCACTTTGGCGTTGACTTTTTAAATTCGTAACCAAGGTGGAGCAAAGGATCGGGATTTTGCTTTGATGGTGCTCCACATACAAAATGTTCACTGCAAACTCAGAATGATTTAGACAACCAAAGGTTTCCTTTTTCATCCTTCCTGTGGATCAGTACTGCCCATCACCTTCACCTTTCACTATTTTTCAGTTCTGTTACGAAGGAAACAGTTTGAACAGAGGTTTGCAGTCACACACATCTGATTTCCTTTTGCAGTTATGAAGTTCGCAAACAAATTTCTCGAGCTGTTAGGATCCAACAACCAAACAATTACAATGTCCGAATCCCAAAACTAAAATATGACAATATCAGAACTAGAAACAAAAGTGATATGGTTCAAAAGAGTAGAAAAGACTGACTTTGTCAATAGACACATCCCACTGGGAAAACAAACATGGTGGTTTGATCCTCACTTTTTTGGAAAATCTTTCCCAGTATGCACTGCGCAATGACCGGAAGTCCGAAATTCGTGATGCATGTATTGCGGTAATTTTACTTTAAAAAAACAACAAAACAAAACAAGAAAAAAAAACATATTTTTACTGCGAATGAGCTTGCCTCTCCACAGACCTGACCTGCAACTTGGTCTAGTGGCGCCACCTGCTCCAGTTCATGGAAATAAATAAGTGTGATGCCAGGCTGAGTAGTAGTAGGTAGTAGGTAGTAGTAGTAGGCCTTTAGTTGATTAATCACAATTGGCTCAAAATGTCTTAGTCGACCAATTATTTTATACAGAGTTGAAGGATTTTTATGGGACAACAACAGAAAAGAGAACATATGGTGTGAGTTTTGGAAGTGAATCTACTTTTTATATATAAATACAGTTTCCTAGTACATTTCTGCTGACATCATACAGACAAGTGGGTGTCAGACCCTCCACCTGGAAAAGTTACATAATGCATCTTTAATGGTTTTGTTAATTTACTTGACCATGTACAAATTAATTAATTTCACAAAGCCAAAAGTTGAGCGTTCGTGTCTTCAGGTTCCATACTGATGGTAAATAAACGTCTCCTGCATTAGACGTCCAAAGAGTCCAGCCTCTTTAAAAACTACTGATACTTTGCAGCTGATGTCATCAACATTCCCTGAAGGTGTGAAACTAACTGTAGGCACTGCTCTGTTACAATCCAGACCGGGTCCCCCGCCGACATCCCTTCATTACGATATGTCTCTATTTAGACGTGCCGGTTTTCTGTCATTTTTATTATCGCTATTCCGACACATCTTTTTTTTTTTTGAGAGTAATGATACAAAACAGGGGTCTCCAACTTATTTCTTTCTTTTTTGAGCCACCTTTTACAAAACAAAAATGCCAGAGAGCTACTCATGGTCCATTTATTAGTGCATAAAGTTGGGCTTCAAAATGATACATTTACAATGGTAATAGGCATTAACCAAAATAACCCAATTTTTGTACCAGCAGAATGGTATAATTCCAAAATCCCTTGGTGAGCTACTTGGAAGGGGGTGGAGAGCTCCCAAGATATAGGTTGGAGATCCCTGGTCTAAAAGAAAGAAATAGGGGCCTAATGCGTATACAATCACATTTCATGGTCATATGTAGGTCGTATGTGTGTTTTGGAATGTGAGAGAGTCATCTCATTGAGCTGGCACAATGAACTTGATTTATTAGTTATTTATTTAGGCTGTATGTTGTTCACTGCAGATCGCCTACATCAGTGGTCCCCAACCTTTTTTGCGCCACAGACCGGTTTTATGTCTGACAATATTTCACGGACCGGGGGGGTACAGGAAAAGACGCTGCGCACAGGAGGAGGTGCAGCATGGTTTAGTCCTGATTTTAGACCTGGTTTAGACCTACTTTAGACTTGGTTTTAGTCATGATTTTAGTCATGATTTTAGTCCTGGATTAGTCCTGGCTTTAGTTTTGAGTTAGTTCTGGTTTAGTCCCGGTTTAGAGGTGTGGTCCACGGGGCGTATGAGAGAAAATGCAGCATCCGGGTGGCGTATGGAAGGGGGGTTTCACACTTTTGTGGCCCGATACCAGTTCACAGCCCAGGGGTTGGGGAGCCCTGGCCTACATGACAAAATGAATGAATGAATGAATGAAGCACAAAGGGCCCAGCCAGCCTCTGTTTTAGATGAGATATTTTCCTGAAGGCTGGTCTATGCTCTTTTTAAAAAAGCATGACTGTTTCCCACGGCGATCAGTTAGGACATTTTCCCACTGTCTGATATCCTCTGTGGCCTCTCAAGCATCTTATGATATCTGGGAGCGCAAAGTATAATAATTAATATTATTCATGTCGGAAAAGCCGAATGTTCGAAAAATAGTAAAGTACCGCTACAATAAAAAAAAATTCGTAGTAGTAGGGCACTTGAAAAATAAAGTTTATGCAGCTACTCCAACAATTAGTTCGTCAATGTGTAAATAGCGGCATGTCGGAATAGCAGCATGGGACCAATCTGATCGTAAAAAACAGATTTAGCTGGAGCTACATTAGGTGATCTGATTTGTGCGGTTAAACAAGTCTCTCACACATAAAATTAGTCACTCTCACCTTTTTGTTAAAAATGAAACACCCAAACAGGACCATGAATGCTATTAAACACAGGCTCACGGAAATGTGCTTAAAACTTTTTTGACACTGTTGCTGTGTGCATTGTCTCTCCATGATAACTGATGTACTTTCCACCATAGAGATACACGTAGAACACCCCCGGCGTGATGTCACTGCCAAGTATGAATTGCTTCTGTTGAATTTTTGAAACCTGGGTAGAGCTCATAGCACCTCGGCTGCAGTCACTGTTTTGGGCATCACGTCGGGCTGACTAGAGAAAGGCCTCGGAGTCAGTATCCTCCCCTTTAAGAGTAAGGTCCCTAAAGCTCCTTTGCAGCTGTAGGTCCGGTTGGGGTTCGGCTGGGTCCGGTTCGGCTCGGTTCGGAAAGGCGCGGACAGGATGGTGGCCACGGTGTGCCTGCGGATCCCCCCGGACTTCTCCAGGTAAGCCTCGCCCTCCTGCTCCACCAGAGGGGCGAGGGTGGCGGAGTCAGAGGAGGTGAGGTGCTGCGTGACCGTGATCTCCGGGTGAGACGAGTGAGGGAGGGAGGGTGGCGAGCGGACGTGACGAGACTCTGTGGAGAGACAGAGGGGCAAAGATGAGCAATACAGCACCAAGAATAGTTCCAAACTGAAGGATTTTGTGGATGTGCATTTATATTTACAGCAGGGGACTCCAGCCCTTTTCCTTTAGTAAGATATTTTTATAAAACAAAAATTCTAGAGAGATACAAATGTTAGCGATCATGAGAAACTGAGCGGATATAACAGCCATGATATGCCTTAGAGGGGGAACAGGTTAGATCTCTATAAAGCAGGAGTGGGCAATTCTTTTTTTTCCATGGGGACACATGAAAAACAGAAAATATTATGAAGGACTGGGCTAAAATGTTTATCTCAATTCTGCATAATATCAGTTCATTGTATTTCTTTACGTGGCCACACCAGCTTGTCAAAGCCTGACCTCGTCAGATCTCAGAAGCTCAGAGGTCGGGCCTGGTTAGGACCTGGATGGGAGACCACCGGGAATTCCAGGTACCACAGGGGGGCGCCAGTGGAAAAAAAACTGTTGTTGTGTCCTTAGGCAAAATACTTCACTTACATTGCCTAGTAATGCAGGTGTAAGTTGAGTGTGTGTTAGATGATGATGGTGGTGGTCAGAGGGGCTGATGGCCTCACTTCTTTCAGTCTGCCCCAGAGCAGCTGTGGCTACAATAGTAGCTTACCACCACCGAGTGTGGAGTGAATGAAAAATGAACTGTAAAGAGCTTTGTCGACAGGCTGTGGTCTTTGACCTTGTCTCGGTCTCAACCTTTAAAAGTCTTGGTCTTGTCCTGGTCTCGGGACCCTGTGGGCTCGGACTGGTCTTGGTCTCGATTAGTGTGGTCTTGACTACAACACTATGATAAGTATAAAGTATACTTACAATTTCAGCAAATAAAATATATCAGAATAAAAATAATTCAAACATCTTTTTTCAGAGTTAAAAAATTCAAAGTGAGAATTCAGCGGTATTTAAAATTCTAAATCTACTGGAACAAATGATCTTCCATACTCTGCATCAGACGGTTTCCCAAGTATTTTCAGACACTTTACATACATACGAAAGACATCAAAAATATGAAACAAGATATATGCATCTATGTAGTACAGAAAAAATGTTAACTTTAAAGATAACTTTAAAGAATATTTTTCCACAGAGTAAATCAAGGCTACTTGGAGGATATGAATACAATGCATTTTTTTTTATTTTACATATTATTTATTGTATCAGTGGCTCAGTGGTTAGAGCAGTGGGCCCCCAACCTAAAGGTCAGAGGATTGATTCCCACTCAGATCAAGTTCATTGTGTCAAGACAATAAGACAATATATGACAATATTTCCAACAGTACATGTTACTTCATATATTTGACATGTTCCTTGTATATATGTATATAAAATGTAGATGGTAGTAAACATAGGTATAAGCAGCTCTTAAGGCCAAAATATGTTTGCTGTCTGCATCCAATCATAAAATGTTTATTATCCGAATATCAGGAAGTGCATTTTAACTATGCTAGTTCTTGTTAGCTCTACCATCTGACAGAGGTGAACAGGACCTGAACGTGGATTGAACGTGAATAATTAGAAAAGCTTTTTACTTCAAATTCAAGTATTTCTTTCACTGCAACCTCCAAAACATCTCAGTGCTTTGTGATACAGACCTATCATTTGTGTTCCAAGACTTCCAAGGTTGTTGTTGTGGGCTAGACTTAAAGGTGCACTGTGTAACATTTCTGGTGAAGGGTCCATCAGATGCTTTTCTCCATGGCAATGCTATTGCTTTGTCTGGAATGTTTCACAGTACGGCATTAAACCTTTATATCTTCACTGAGATCAAACCAAACCGAGTTACAGGTTTTTCTAGGTGTTTTTGAGCTATAAAACCACATTTAATTGAATAAATGTAAAGTAGAACTGTTTAATGTCATACTGTGGAACATTCCAGGCAGAGCAAAAAATGGTCCTAAGCATTTTAAATAAAATATCTGATGTCAAAAATATCTGACAAAGACTTTTTTTTTTGCCAAAATGTTATTTAAAAATAGGGAAAGGCTTTTGGATATCGGCCATGAGTGTGCTACGCATTTTTTTTCACTTGTTTCCTTGCATTTGCACCTCTACAAGAACTTTGGGTTGCGTTTTCTGTTTAATTTGACATCCATGAAAACAGACACATGATGGACCCCAACTAAAAAAATTACACAGTGCATCTTTAAGGCAGTAAAAATCGCATAGAGATTAGAAGACTAAAATCTACAGTCAGTGAAAGCGTAACACCACACGAGGGCACTGTTGTCATACATTGCATTTGTACAGACAGGTTAAACAGAAACTTGAAAAGGCAAATACATTAAAATCAAGATAAAATATGTCATAATTCTAATGTTAAAGATTGAAAGATATACTGTATTGTGTTCTCGTTATTCTAGTGATCAGATTTTTACTGATCTTGCAATTGTACACACATCATTTTGACTGATTTTAAATTTGAGATTACATGCTTGTTTCCTTTTGGTTCATGTTTTTGACCTGGACTGACTCCGGCCTGTGGGTCAGATCTCAACATGAGCCGCTCTGAGAGGATTTAAACCACACTCCAGGAGCCCTATGGCCCCGGTATAACAAAACAACAGGCTACATTTACAAATCAACCAGGATTACAACAAGACTAAACCAATACTGAAGCTCATCCAGGACTAAGGACTAAACCAGGACTTAAAACTGGACTAGACCAGGACTAAACAAGAACTAGACCAGGAATAAAACAGGCCTAAACGAGGACTAAACCAGGACTAAACAAAGACAAGGCGAGGAGTAAACGAGGACTTCAACTGGACCAGAGCAACACTAAACAAAGATTAGACCAGGACTAAACCAGGACTAAACAAAGACTAGATCAGTGCTAGACAAGGATTAGACCAAGACTAAACAAAGATTAGCCCAAGACTAGACTAGGACTAAACCAGTACGACACTAGGACTACACAATGACTAAATCAGGACTAAACCAGGACTAAACCAGGACTTAAATTGGACTAGACCAAGACTAAACAAGGACTAGACCAGGACTAAACCAGGACTACACTAAGACTAAACAATGACTAAATCAGGACTAAACCAGGACTAAAACTAAACAAGGACTAGACCAGGACTAAACCAGGACTAAACAAAGATTAACGAGGACTAGATCAGGACTAAACCAGGACTTAAACTGGACCAGACCAAGACTAAACAAAGATTAGACCAGGACTAAACTGGGACTAAAGTAGGACCAGACCAGGACTAAACCAAGACTAAACAAAGACTAGACCAGGACTAGACCAGGACTAGACGTAGATTACCCCAGGACTAAACCAGGACTTAAACAGTACTAGACCAAGACTAAACAAAGATTAGACCATGACTAGACCAGGACTAAACCAGGATTTAAACCATACTAGACCAAGACTAAACACAGACTAGGTCAGGACTAGACCAGGAGCAAACAGGATTAAACCAAGGCTAAACAAAGACTAGACCAAAACTAAAACAGATCTAGACCATGTCTAAAATAAGACTAAACAAGAACTCGAAAAGGACTGAACTTGCCTAAGACAGAACTAGACTAAGAGTAAAGCCTGGCTACACCAAGATTTAAACCAAGACTAGCCCAAAACTAAACCAAGAATAAACCGGGACTAAAGCAGGACTAAACCAGAAAGCCCACTGACCTCCTCAACACTTCCGACCTAAAGTAACCTCACAATCAGCAGCTTTTAGCCCAATCTTTTAAACCCCTCGTGCACTCTGGCTCTGGGTTAACACTGATCCAAGAGTCCTTTGTTTTTCTGCCAAATAATAATAAAGTTACGTAAACGGCTTCAAACTAAACAAAAAGTCAACGTTTAGACATCAAACATTACAATTAAATCGAGACGCACAACAAACTGCACAACAAAATGAACGGAAGAAAGGATTAAAGACTCCATATTACGCTAAATGGACTCATGTGAGCTTTAAGTCATGTTAGAATGCTGTTCCCTCCTCAAAAACACACTGGAGTTGTGTTTTGTTTCATTCACACATGTTTGAATAACTCTTTATTAATAGTCTGCCTACATCTCCAAAGCTCAAAATGCTCTGTTCCACCTTGTGATGTCATGTAGTGGTAGTTTTCATGTGAAGTTACCTTTAGTTCAGTAGAAGATTGACAATTCCAGGACTGAAATTATCCAAATGATTCTAGTGAAGGTATATGGGGTTTAAAAACACAGTGGAGCATGGTGGAGCAGAGTGTTTTCAGTTTGAGAGAAGAACTCAGCCTAAATCTGCCGTTTTTGTGAGTTAAACATGTGTGAATGGAAAAAACACAACTCCAGGTCTATTTGTGATGAGGAAACAACATTATAATATAGATTAGAAAATAGTCGAATATGGGCCCTTTATGTCCTGACAAGATTACAGTATTTTTCGGACTATAGGTCGTTCCAGAGTATAAGTCGCACCAGCCAAGAAATGTGTAATGAAGAAAAAAAAACATATATAAGTCACATCGGACTATAGGTCACTTTTTGGGGGAAATTTATTTTATAAAATTAGAGATCAGGAACCGACATTTCATCTTTAAAGACAAGTTCTAGTAATAACAATAGAACAGAGAGCAACAGACTGTTAACGTCACATATGAACAGTTCTTCAGATAAACTATAACATAAACAACAGAACAGAACAAGTTTAACAAACTCTCCATCTCACTCCAAATCACTAAATCCATTCAATTCTTCATCCTCCTCTAAACTTCTCAGGAGGTAAACAGAGCGCCGCTTCCTCTTCTCGTAGCTGCCATCAGACTCAGCATCAGTTCCAGTTAGAATTTCTCTTAGTTAGCCTTTCTGAATCCTGACAGGATGATTTCGATTGTCACTGAAGTCCAGGCTTTGTCCATCCATCCAGTGACTTCTAGGCAAGTTGCATTTTGCACCCTCCCGGTTGCCGTGAAGTTGTGTTCTCCATCCTCACTTTCCGCCAGTCATTCACAAGTTCCTTGCTCACTCCAAACTTTCTTTCTGTTGCTCGATTACCGTTTTTGGCTGAATATTTAACTACTTGCAGCAGGACAGAGGCCTTTTCTGCAGGAGACATGCGCAGTAAAGCCCGAAGTGACAGTGGTGCAGAAGTAATAGGAGCAGCAGCGTGAAAATTTTAATATACAAGTCGCGCCGGAGTATAAGACACAGGACCACCCAAAACCATGAAAAAAAGTGCAACTTGTAATCAGAAAAATACGTTATTTTATTAAACGAAAGGAGCAAACGCATGTGGGTAGTAATTAATTGAGTAGATTTCTAACACTTTGAAATATTATTAATACTAATGACAGTATTCTTATCTAATATTAAAAAGGGGATATTTTACTTCCATAGGGTATTACCTGCTAAAGGCCGAATTATAGTTTTGCGTTAACTCAGCACACCATTGCTTTGTCACCATTGTTTTTGATTTATGGATCTGCGTCGAGGTCTAAGCCCCGAGAAGTAATTCAACAACGCTAGGAAGCTAGAATTAGAACCAGGGGTCTCCAATCTTTTTTCCTCCGGTGAGCTAAAAAACGAAAGTCCCAGATAGCTGCTCATTATAGTGGCCGCAAGAAACTGAGTTATGAGTAATTATAAGAGCCACAGCCATCGATCGGAACAGTTAGAGGCCTATAAAACATAAACCATTATCCATTTATTAGTGCAGAAAGGAAAGTTAGGCATGAAAATTAAACATTTATCATTTTAACTGTCATTCTACTCATCAAATTTTAGTTATTCAGCACAAAACTGATAATTTAGAAATTCTTTGGCGAGCAACTTGGAAGGAGGTGGAGAGCTCCTGGTGGTTCCCGAGCTACAGGTTGGAGACTCCTTGTATAAACAAAATGAAGCGGGAAAGCGGAGAACCGTAAATGTATGCAGAGCGGATGTAGAGAGGACCAATTACAGCTCTTACTGTCTGCGTCGCTTCTTCCTGCTGTCTGCGTCAGTTCGATGTGTAGTTAGAAAATTTCGAAGGCCAGTCGATGGAAAGGCTCTGCGGAGGGGGTTCAAGGCGACACGGACTCTCTTTGTTGTTTAGAAAATGCTACATTCAGAATTAACATTAACACGTTTTATAAGTTTCACATTTGAATTTGATGCTCTGGTTTCCCTTTGCTCTCTGCAAAGTCCCTCCCTTACCTTAAAATCCATGTACATTTTGCTCATATAAAATCATTTCTGTTGTGGATCAATAATGCTCATCTACTAAGTCTAATGAAACTACAACAGCACATTGCGCCAGGTTTGTGAAGGTGTAGCGTATTGTTATTTTGTACATTTACAGAAAACTGCCATTCGGAAGCGTGGGTGCTTGTGGGTGGAGCATTGCACAGAATCACACTGCTAAGTAATCGTAAGGAGGTTTGAACAGAGCCCAGGAGAGATCGCTAGATAACTCAAACATGCATGGATGACATCTAAAACCTCTTCAGGGATGTACTTGATGAAAGAACAATGTTATAGCCTGGTAGAAAGCTCCACAAAGTCGATTTCGCATAATGGCACTTTGCAAATAATGTGCATTTCTTGCCCCTACATATTTACAAGTTTATGCTTCTTGAGAGGAGTTACTTTGAAGACCCTTGCCAAGAAGAACGATTACATTTAAACCACACACCAGGGGTCCTGTGACTCTCGTATAACAAAACAACAGGCTACATTTACAAATAAACCAGGATTAAAACAAGACTAAACCAATATTAAAGATAATCCAGGACTAAACCAGGATTTAAATTGGACTAGACCCAGATTAAACAAAGATTAGACAAGGACTAGACCAAGACTAAACTAGGATTAAGCCAGGACTTGAACTGGTCTAGACCAAAAGACTAGGCCAGGACTAAACCAGGACTACACTGACATCTAAAACCTCTTCAGGCATGTGCTTGATGAAAGAACAATGTTATAACCTGGTTATAAACTCCAAAAAATCCATTTCGCATAATCCCACTTTGCAAATAATGTCCATTTCTTGCCCCTACATATTCATAAGTTTATGCTTCTCGAAAGGAGTAATTTTGAGGACCCTTACCGAGAAGAAAAATTACATTTACATGGTCGTAACAAGTTAGTATTTCATCTTGAGGCACATTTACAATTGTATGTTCATTCTGTTTATTTATGGTGGAGCCTTGTGTGTTTTTGACTCTCCCTCTTTAGCTATTATTTTATCATCTATCAGATATTTTTATTATTTATCTATCTATTATTATATTATTTTTTATTGTTTTCTAGATGCAAAATACAAAAATCTGCATTTTAATTCATTTCTCACATAAACTCTGTATAAAAGTAAGTGTGATTGTCAGTTGTTGGATCTCACATGACCTTTTTAATAGTTATTTATTGGTCTTAAACTTGAATGTCCCCATTGTGGAGTAAATAAAAGTTCTCTTATCTTACCTAAGAGGAGCTGATGCGTTTCCTCTGTGATGTTGCTAAGATACGGAGACACCACGATCTCCACCAAGCTCTCGAGCTGAACGTACTCTTGAGAGGGGCCCCCGGACTCATGGATGCCCTGAAACAGCAACACAATAATGCACAATACTACATTACACAATATATACTGTAGTTTAAAATGGAACTGGAGGACAGGTAAGAATTCTCAGGTCAAATTTGCTGTTTAAAGTGCTTATGACAACTTGAACAACTCATTTTACTACAACACAGATAAAGGGCCCATCTCATGCAAAATAACTCTTTTCACATTGTATCTTCTGCACATAAACAAGCACAATTTGGGTTTTGGAACATCCATTACACAATAGTTATGAAATCTTACTGATTTCTTGGAGACAGTCACAAACCAGGAACTATGAAAGGTCAACTATTGCTCATCCCCCCGCCCGTCCTGAGAAAGCACAGGCTCAGCCCTCTAAACATGACATAGGCTCTGAGTGAGTCGCCCTTCCTCCGCCCATCTCAGGGAGGGAGGGGGAGACAGACGTGCACCCTGATAGTGGTAGGAAACTTTTATTCATCGTGGCCATACAGCGCTTTCAGTCGCATGTGTTGGACCCGGAATCGGATGAGGATTTGAAGGTGCACGAAGCACAAGCACCACGTCGACATCAGCTGAACATTACTGATTGGTAAAGTATTAATAAACACTAGTAAACTAGTCAACTTATTATATCGTGTACACTGCAGTGTAGAACAATGAGCTTATGCTGTCGCTTTTGTTTAGGTGTTCATGTGGGAATTGTCAGCAGATGCGAGGTGGAGGCAGGGCGGAAACGGTGGAGGGGGGGCGGGTGCGAAGAGCTTTCTGCTACGTCAAACGTGTCATAGGTGTAGCTGCCGCATCATCATTGTAGCAGCTTTAGTTCGTTGTCAAGTGGGAGGGTGGCAGAAATACACTGCAATTTGTTAAAAAAATACTGAATCAATCTAAAAACCACTTCAGAGACATATACAAGGCCCACACATCACTCTTAGAAAGTAGAAAGCTCTGAAAAGTTGATTTTGCATGAGATGGGCCCTTTAAGTTTATTTTATTTAAGACTTTACAAATAGCTTTAACCTAGCAACCATGTAGTAGAGAGGGCCAAAACTCCTCTAATGTACACATATATTATTATTTGACAAATAAAAATATAAGAAAACACCTTTATCTTGCTAAAACAATAGTTTAAGTATCAGAAAAAATGTGTTTCTTGTATTAAACTTGTGCATAACCTTTGGATAGAATTCTCTGTACTGTGATGTCGCACTGGAGCTGTGTTTTGTTTTCTATTTATACTCCTCAATTTCTCATGCAACTTTGATAAGCCCCTACACAAAGTCTATGCTGAGAGATGAAACAGTGTGGTGGATACCTCTGCCGCCACTCCATAGTGTCAGTATCATTTCATTTCATTTACATTAAGTTAATTACATTACACATACTTTAATTCCTTTATTTAGACATATTCTAATTTGAGTGCACACATTTTAGTTAATATAAGTCTGATTTACTTACACTTGTTCTTTTTGTTTTTTGAGCACCGGACAGAGGACCTTCAGGAGAGACTATCATGACTCAACAAGGGGGGAGGAAGCACTATTTAGTTAGTTTTATTATTTTATTATTAAGTTAGTTTGTTTAGTTTGCTTTAAGGTCACTTTATTATCACTTATTATTTTCTGTATTATAATTATTTGCCTTTTTGTTACTTTGATTAAGTTAGTAGATTAGTTAATTATTTAGTGTAATTCCTCCCTCTTGGTCCTCAAGTATTTAAGGATTTATTTATTTTACACTCCTGTTCTTTTGTCTGGTTGGGTTAGTTTTGTTCTGTTAAGTTTGTTACCCCAGTTGGGCCCGGCTTTTTTTGTTATTACTTACCTAATTTGAGCCTTTGTTAAATTATATATTTTTTGACTTTATTAAATTTAAACTTATTTTTATACCTTGTCTTTGCCTTTCTGTTTGGTCCTCTACAAATAGCTAGTGACAAACCAGATAGGGTACGCGGCAGGGGTGTCCAAAAACAGTTCATTTCACAAAATTTTAAAATTCGGGACAGAATTCAGTTTTTCTTTAGAAATAAATAGATAGAACAAATAGAACCAGTGTTGGGAAGGTTTTTAAAATGTATTCCCCTACAGATTACAGATTACATACCCCTAAATGTAGTTTGTAACGTAATCCATTAAGTTACTTAAAGTAACGTAATCTGAATACTTTAGATTACTTCATATTGTTATGCTTTTTAAAACTACATGAATGTAGCAACCACATCCTGCAAATTCTTGTTTGTTCTTTTCAAACTGGCTGCAGATATCATGAGCCTATGCAGTTTGTTTTCAACATTGCCAGTAGCTCCGGTTTGACATTTAACTTGTAGGTTATTTTATATTAAATTTTATATAATATATTTTTTTTTATATCTATTTTATTTATATTTATCTCACGTCGGAAGAGGTGGGTGGACAGCATTCGCCCCGTGTACAACACCCACCACACGCCTGTCTCTCTCTTCTTTAAATACAAAGTGACAAAAAAAAAAAAGAAGGGATATAGCCCAAAATGTGAAAACAAGAAAATACCTCCATGTAATCCATTTATTTCAACAAAGTAACTGTATTCCAATTACCACTCATTGAAACAGTAACTGTAACCGAATACTGTTACTCATAATTTATACTCTGATTATGTAACACCAGTACATGTAATCCGTTGCTCCCCAACACTGAATAGAACTCTCTACTTCCTGTAATTTTAAACATATTTTTCAACTTTTTTTTACAAATTGCTTCTTGATCAGTGTAAAACTATCATGTATATTTACAACAGCTATTATCCAACCAGATTAACTCAACATTTCAGAATCTTAAAAACCGGTCATACACACTTTAACTGATCTGGTCTAATTGCAGATTTGTTGACCTGGTTATGGTTCATATCTCTGTAATTACTGGGTCTATCCACATGAAACAAAAACTGCTTCTTTGTCAGCATAAATAAACAAAAGTGTACTGAAAGCATGCAACAGATTTTTATGATTCTCTAATTTTGACTTAATTTGGTAAGATTATAACTATTGTCAGTATAAATGATAGTTTTTCCACCAATCAAGAAGCAATTTGCAAAGAAACGTTGAAAATAATCCTGAATCTTGAAAAAGTCTAATGTACTGTTGAGAATTTTTATCCAGAAGTTCAGCACAGTTTACATATAAATGCATTTTTCTGAGACTTTAAACATGATTTCAACAAAATAAAGGTGTTTTCTTATATTTGTATTGGTCAGAAAATCATTTCTGTGTACATTAAAGGAATTTTTCTAGGTAACAGATATGGAATTCCATAATCTGAAAATGTTAAACCTGAAAAATGGTCAAACTGGGAAAACGAGAGTGAATGTTTTTGCAAAAACAGTATAATAATATAGTATAACAGTAGTCTAACTTGTCATCGGGACTTTTCACACCAGCCTCAGAAAGTGGTGCCATTGTTATTTATTAGTCGTGATGACTGTGAGTTGAAATTAATATTGCAAGTTTGTGGAGCTAAGCCAGAAAAATAATGAGAAGGTTCAGCATTTAAGGATCGAGAGTTTGGAGATTTCTTGCATTAAATAGCAGGGATGTAACAATAACCGAAATATCATGATCAAAGTTCTCACAATAATATTGTGGACCATCAAAATATATCGAATTACAAGTCTCTTTGCTTAAATTAAGAGTTATGGCGCAACAATAGCGAAAAAAAAGACTGCGGGAACTACATAGACCATGATCCTCTGCTCCATTTCAATGCAGACTACATGAAGAAATAACAGTTCTAATCACTTTTAAGTCTTAGTTCTTTGGATTAAGTCTTGTCAAGGCATTTTAAGGGGAAAAAGTAGCTTATTAACAGTTTTAGCTGTTTTGCCTCCACAAAATATTGCAATAAATATCGTACTGTGAGATGCGTTTTGTGAAATATCATAAGAGATTTGGATATTGTTACACGCCAAATCGTGAGCCTCTCCACCATACTGTGAACTTTCCCACAGTATCGCAATAAATATTGTACCGTGAGGTTCATACCGTGACGATATTGTATCATGAGACCTGGATATCTTTACACCCCTATTAGCACTGGCTTTTAATTCAATCTGATTTTTAATAGTTTGATCATTTGTGAGTGTGTTTACATGTGCATCAGTATCTGACAGTATTCTGGATATGGTGTTTACATGCGCTCAGAGAAACCAGGATATTCATATCCCCATGCACATGCACCATTAGAGTATCCTGGACAGGGCTGGGTGTCGTTAAGAGGCTGCCGATACGATACATATCTCGATACACAGGCCACGATACGATACATATCTCGATACAGTGCCCTTTCGATTTGATACAATATATATTTCAAATCAATTCGATATGATTCAATAAAAAATAAAGGTTAAATCATGGCTGTGATACAAAAAGTCTTTGTTAAACCATTTCTTGTGCAAAGTTCATATGAAACACAAACATTTTAATCATCAAAACAGTGAAAATGTCAAATGTGATGCACAAAAGAGTTTCCTTCATCTAAACAAGCAACAAAACTGTAGCTCTGTAATCAAATAATTTAGTAAAAGATACCAAAAAATACTCTTGGCAATATATCGATACAGCAGCCCAAGATATCAATACTGTATCATCACATTAAACGATACGATATATCGATATTTAAATATTTTTGCACACCCCTAATCCTGCATATTTAGAACGGTTGCTGTTTTAACTATGGCACAGATATGGCAAGGAACTAAACATGTAGAAACATTGATAACTTAAGGTTTTTTAACAGTTTTTTAAAAAACAAAAAGAAGACAAACATTCAAGTAAGAACATGAGATTGTGGAGCTCTGTTACAGCTTCAGTAAAAGTCATTTTTAACAGTTGAAAATTACAACACAGTGTCAAAGAGTCAGTTTGGTTCCAGAGCAGCACAAACAGACAGAGAGGTGAGCCTGGAGTTAAAAGGTGGCTGTATTAAAAAGTACACTGCTTTATTTATATATATATAAAAGATTATTACTTTACCGTATTTTCTGCACTATAGGGCACATTTAAAAGCCTTTAATGTCATCAAAAAACAACTGTGTCCCTTCTATATGAATTTATTCGGGTGTCTTAGTAAACTACAAAGCCGCACCACTTGCAGCATTACGGCTCCCGTAGTCAGGAGCATTGCGGAGTAATACATACTGTGATTCCTTTTAATATCAAAATGCACCTGTCAAGAGACACGCTTTCAAGGCTATTATAAAGTGAAAGTGCGAGCTGCGTGGGAGCACTGGATGAGAGGTGAACACACATTCACCAAGACAGAGAGACAGCGCCGAGCGACTTACGCCACGATCTGCCAACGGATCGTGGACGCCTGGGCTAAGGATCAGTATCAACTCTGGTCCGAGCTTTCACCAAGACCAGAATCATCACTGAACTGAACTCCAGGGAACAGTAACCACACTGACTCGGATAATGATGAGAGGGATGTGGGCGTGCTGGACACCGTAATCACCCAACTGTTTGAACAATTATGAGTTATTGTGAAAATACTAACAATTTAGCATCTCAGACAGTATTTTTTTTACGTGTTACAATTGAACAAAGTTGAGAGTTATTGTGAAGTTAAAGTTTGACTGACTTATCTGTTGTGTTTCGTTTAATGCGCCTTATAGTCCGGTGTGGTTTATATGTGAAAAAAGTTTGAAAATAGGCCATTCAATTTATAATCCAGAGTCCCCTATAGTGCGCAAAATACAGTAGAAGTACTGGTAGGAGTTTGAGTCATTTTGGTAATGTAACTGCTCCTACAGTATTTGTGACATGAGTTCGCACATGCTCAGTACTGCTCCAGTTTTGAGAAATCAGGATACTGCATCTAGAGGTCACAGTATCCTGGATACTCTCAGAAAAACCCACTGAGTGTCTCCTGGTTTCACATAACCAGGATACTAGCAAATCCATGAGACTGAAACCAGAATACTGCATCTACATGGACACTCACATAACCAGGATACTTAAAAAACCTGATCATAACCGTGATACTTGAGCGCATGTATACGCACTAGTGATTTTACCAAGGTGTTTTAATCACACTAAGTCATAATATATACTGTAACACAGTAACAACAGTCAGTTACATTTCTGTAGCTTGTGCGGATTCTTATATATCACTGACCTGTAGCACGAGCAGCATCTGAGTTATGGCCGGAGGGACGGAGGCTGCTGTTCCCAGAGTATCCTCCAGGTGGAGCTTGAGTAACACTAGGTCTCTGAAGGCCAACAGCGCCATCTGTCTCACACTGAGCTCCTGGCCCTGGACACACAATGAACAGAACCGCATTCAAATGTTTGTCACACATTACACTACATAGCCTTTGTTTTCTGAAGGCGAAACACAATCTTATTAATACTACTGACCTACTACTAATCAGTGTTGTAACATAAAAACTACAGATACAAAGGCAAAAAGTTACTCAAGTAAAAGTAAAAGTATGAGCATCCATGAGAAAATCTACTAAGTAAGTTAAAGTAAATAAGTAAAAGTATTCAAGTACCCGTTTAAAAATGTACTTGAACAGTAAAAAGTAAAAGTATTTTGCAGAGATTTTTAGAACTATTAAAAGATGAAATGCAGTGAATTTGAAAAAAAAAAATTGGCTGATTTGAAGTGATTCCACTGATTTCTTAATTTCCTTGACATTTTTTGACATTTCAAATGAAATGAAGAATGAAAATCCATCAGCTGTGGATGTGGTGCTGCCAGATAAGCATTAGCCAATAGATAACAAGGTTACATCGTTATCTATTGGTTGTGAGGTTGTCAATCAAACTCCCTATGTTTCTAGCGTAACTGACTCGCTGGCGCTCTGGGATTGCGGGGTTTACGTTTGCCTCTCACACATTTCACATACGCAAGATGCCGTTTACTCAACCAAAGCAGAGGTTCTTAGTGGCTTTTTTGAACTGTAGCTTTCTTGCAGTTAACTAAAAGTTTGTTGCGATAGCAGAGAAGACTCCACGACTAGTTTGCTGCAAAAGAAAGTCAATTTTTGAGGTCGCTGAAAGAAGAAGAGAAGGGGAAAAGGAGCAACACCAAACTAAGGTGATTCTTGGAGATTCCTTCCAGCGACGGCGTGACTGAAGCAGACGAAGGGTCTAAAGACTGACACGTCGGTCGTTAAATGACTTCTGGATAGGTCACTTCAACAGTGGTTCGGGTGTAAACAAGCATGATTTCTAGAGTAAAGAAGAGGTGGGAGGAGGGAGCTGTGGAGGAGGGGTGTGGTGTCATATATGCACAACATTTGAAAAAAGACCATCGCTGCACTTCTATCTATCGCGGGGGCAGCAGTCTAAGCAGAGACTCCTAGACTTCCTTTACCCGGGACACTTCCTCCAGCTCCTCTGGGGGAACCCAAGGTGTCAGCAAAGAGACATAGTCCCTCCAGTGTGTCCTGGGTCTTTCCTAGGGCCTCCTTCCGGTGGAACATGCCCAGAATACCTCCTGAGGAAGGCGTCCAGGAGGCATCTGGAACAGATGCCCGAGCCACCTCAGCTGCTCCTCTTGACGTGGAGGAGCAGCGGCTCTACTCTGAGTTCCTTCTGTGTGACTGAGCTCCTCACCCTATCCCTCAGGGAGCACCCAGCCTCTCAGTGGAAGAAATTAATTTCACTTTCCTTGGAAAATCCTCTTTACAGTCTTTAAATCTCACACCATAAGGAAAAGTACTTTAATTTTTCAGTCCAGATCTAAAATGTCGTGGAGTAGAAAGTACAGATACACGTTCTCAAATGTAGTGACGTATCCACTGTAAACTTTAGTAAAACACAGATGCCTAAAAATTGTACTTAAGTATTGTACTTTTATCATCCTAATTATTTACCATAATGAATTTATAAGCCCTTTTCACAGCTTTCAGAGTTTTCCGTCACAGTAATCCTAACAACAACAAACATGTTAACAGCGCTTTCTCATTCTCTTCAAGAAAATGCATTATATTACATTCCAACAGTACACAGAGACTTATTTTGACCTCAAGAGCTGTTCAAACAATATATCAAGATGAATTTTGCTCAGATATATAGAAAAAAATCAGCTAATGTTTAATATTAGCATTTCCCTTATGGAGACCAAATTTTTGTCCCCATAAAGAAGGCAGGTTCTCGTAGATTAAAATGCCAGGGAAATGCACGATACAAGATATTTAGGGCTTTATTGAATTCCTTCTTACAAGAGTGTGACTGTCAGAGTAGCACAGTTGTAGCTTTAAATTTAGCATTAGTGTGTTAATCCTCTGGCCTTTGACCTCAATGATCCAGGCTGACTTAGGGATCAGGAACTTTTACGTACAACTACACACAGCCCAGGGGTCAGCGGACTTAAGCTACATTCACTGAAAGGCTAATATTAGTGGCTTGAGGATGTAGAGAAGAAGGTCAGATGGAGCAGAGAGTGCAAAAGAGAGGATCAGAGGAGAAGAGGATGAAGCAGACCAGCAGGGAAGAGGGTCAGAGGAACAGAGGACGCAGAGGAGAGGTCAAATGGAGCAGAGGATGCAGAGAAGGGAGTCAGAGGAGCACAAGAGGCAGAGGAGAGGTGCAGAGGAGCACAAGATGCAGAGGAGAGGATCAGATGGAGCAGAAGATGCAGAGCAGAGTGTCAGAGGAGCAGAAATTGCAGAGGAGAGGATCAAATGGAGCAGAGGATGCAGAGAAGATGGTCAGAGGAGCAGAGCAGAGAGAGAGAGAGAGGAGTCAGGAGGATCAGAGGAGAGGTCAGACAGAGAGAGGCAGAGGCAAGGGAGCAGAGAGGAGAAGATGAGAGAGGCAGAGGAGAGAGCAGAGGAGAGTGCAGAGAGCAGAGAGGCAGAGAGTGAGCAGAGGAGCAGATGCAGAGGAGAGAAGAGGTCAGAGGAGCAGATGAAGAGCAGACAAGGAATGCAGAGGAGAGAGGAGCAGATCAGACAGAAGCAGACAGAAGAGGATGAAGATGGAGGCAGAGGAGAGAGGCAGAGAGAAGAGGCAGAGGATGCAGAGGAGAGAGTCAGAGGAGCAGAGAAGAGAGTCAGATGAAGCAGAGAAGACAGTCAGTTGGAACAGACGGTGCAGAGGACAGGGTCAGATGGAAAAGAGGATGCAGAGAATAGGGTCAGAGGAGCAGAGGAGAGGGTCAGACAGTGTCGAAGATGAAGAAGAGGGGGTCAGATGAAGCTCTGACCTGTACTGGGTAGAATATGGCTTGCAGAGTGGGCAGCGTCTCGGTGAAGAAGCGTTCCCAGGCGACGGAGAGAGCCTCGAGCTGCTCCTCTCCTGAAACACAGAGCAACAGAGGGTTACCACGGAGACGCAAACGGACAGGTCACATGACACACCAGAGAGAGTCACGTGACCAGCTGTACCAGCGTGAACCAGAAAGTAAACATTAGCAAGTTACAGGTCAGGTCTGCGGAGCTCTGTGCCTGGTATGTTTTCTGATGGATTTTCTTTGCAATGAAACACCAGTAAATGACTTAACAAAATGCAATAAATAAAATGTAATGCTCTATTGTGGAACATTCAAGACAATGCAATAATATAGTCTACGTTCAGACTGCGGGGCTTAATGCTCAATTCAATTTTTTGTGAATTTTTTTGCGAGATTGTTCACATTTCCACTTAAAGGGACAGTTTGAAATTTTGGACATAGGACCTCATTTCCTAGTGAGCCAGAGTGTTGGAGAAGTGTGGAGACACTTTTTTAAATATTCCATCCAGTCCTTGTATTTGCAGGTCGCTGGTGCTAGGCTAGTGCATATCAGTGGTCATAGTTCTCCTGCCACTAAAAACAGTCTTACCCACTCCACAAAACACCCAAAGAAAATCTATTATTACACCAGACTGTCCATGTGAACGTCTGTGTTGACAGAATAATTTTAAAAGTAAAACCAATCTTGCATTTGTAGGATTTATGTTTGCGCAGCAGCAATGAGTTGTATTTCCTGTCAGAAAGCCCGGCAATGGCGGATTGATATATGAGAAAATAGTCCCTCAACATGTAACGATTCATGCTATGCAAGATTAGTTTCATTTTATTATTATTATTCTATCAACACAGACATTCACATGGACAGTCTGGCAAAATAATAGATTTTCTTCAGGTGTTTTGTGGAGTGGGTAAGTTTTTTAGTGGCAGGATAACTATGGCCATTGACATGCACTAGTCTAGCACCAGTGACCTCTGCAAATACAAGGACTGGATGGAATATTTCAAAAAGTGTCTCCACACGTCTCCAACACTCTGGCTCACTAGGAAATGAGGTCCTATGTCCAAAATTCCGGACTATCCCTTTAAATGTTACTTGTATGTGATCTCCAGTGTGAACTTTAAAACAGACCAGAGCCAGAACATGTACAGTTTATTTGTTTTCAGGAGGAGATTGAGAAGGAGAAGGACGAGGGTTTTGGCCATGGTGTTTTGTGGCACGGTGGCAGCAACGGCCGTAGAAAGGAACGTCTGGGTGTGGAGTCGCAGCCAAGAGACATTTTAAAAAATCAGATCTGTGTTGTTCAGACTGTCATTAAAATATCAGATACAGGTCACATAGGGGAGAAAAAAATCGGATTTGAGTCACTTCAGGCTGCAGTCTGAACGTCACCACAGAGACATGCAAGTGACATCAAGCAACCAGAAATGTTATAAAAAGCGCCTTTAAATGATTATGTTTAAGTATTAGTTATAATAAGTTACTATAGTACATGACTCTGCTTGTCCTAGTTTAGTCCTGGTTCAGTCCGGATATACTCCTAGTCATTCTTTTACATAGTTCCTTTAATTCTAGTATAATTCTGGTTCAGTATTATTTCAAACCTGGTTCAGTCTCAGCGTAGTCCTGGATTAGGCATATTTTTATTATTATTAAAGGTGCATTAAGTAACTTTTCTGCTGGAGGGTCCCTCAAATGTTGTTCTCCATGGAGATGTTTTTGCTTTGTCTGGAATGTTTCACGATATGGCATTAAACCTTTCTATCTTCATGGTCCTATAGTCCATGAAGCTCATAGTCATGAGCTTTGGGTAATGACCGAAACGTCAAGAGTCCCCTGCAGGATGACTGGGCGAGGAGCTCAGTCACATGGGAGGAGCTCCGAGTAGAGCCACTGCTCCTCCAGGATGAGAGGAGCCAGTTGAGGTGGCCCGGGCATATGTTCCAGATGCCTCATGGGTGTCTCCCTCAGGAGGTATTCCGAGCATGTTCCACCAGAAGGAGGACCCAGGGAAGATCCAGGACACGCTGGAGGGACTATGTCTCTGGGCTGGCCTGGAACACCTCGGGATATCCCCGGAGGAGCTGGAGGAAGTGTCCGAGGTGAAGGAAGTCTGGGAGTCTAAGCAGACTGCTGCCCCCATGACCCCGCCCCAGATAAGCGAAAGAAAATGGATGGACAGTTCTTCATGGAAACCCAACCAGACCAAGTTACAGGTCAGATCTGTGGAGAGGCGACCCTGCTCACAGTCAGAATGTCTGTTTTTCTAGGTATTTTTGAGCTATAAAACCACCTCTAATTGAATAAATGTAAAGTAGAGCTGTTTAAAGTCATCCTGTGGAACATTCCAGGCAGAGCAATAACATATCCATAGAATCAAGGAGGTGACAGACCCCCAACCGAAAAGTTACACAATGCAGCTTTAAACTTGGTCTCATGAGTCTGTTTTTCTGTGCTAATTTTGGAGTAAAAAGTAAGACAATCTCTAATTTAAACCCAGTATAAAAAAAAAACAAAAAACGAATTACCAGTGGTGAGGAGGATTTGGTCGAGGACTTCGGACAGACCTCGGGTGAGAAGCTGGTTCTGAAAAGCAACAGACAAAAGTGTAAACAGGATTATTGGTGTGTTTCCAGCGAAGGCCGAGCTCATTTGAACTGAATGAGGTTAAACTAATATTGTGCAGCAGTGTCCCTGTGTTAGTGACAGAATAACTGCATTAGTGACCACAATGACTTCCTCTGGGTCAGGCCAAAACAGGGCCACACTTTACATGAATTAGTGTTACCGTGACAACAGTGTGTTATAATGTTGTTATGTTCATGTTTTGTTTCATTCACACATTTCATTATTTCATTGGGCTGAATTCTTCTCTCAAACAGTAAACACTCCTGAAACATTGTTCCACCTTGTGATGTTATACAGGAAGTGCTCCACTGTGTTTTTAAACTCCACAAACCTTCACTAGAATCATTTGAATTATTTCAGTCCTAGAATTGTCTATCTCTACTGAAAAAAAGATAAAGGAAACTGTTAACTTGAAAACTACATGACATCACAAAGTGGAACAGAGCACTTTGAGCTTTGGAGATGTAGACAAACTAATAATAAAGAGTTACTCAAACATGTGCTGATGAAACAAAACACAACTCCAGGTCTGTTTTTGATGATTTTATAACTCTTTCAAAGCTCACAGGGAACAATTTTGTTAACTATTTTTTAACATAGGAAAACACACAATAGAGTCAAAAAAATATAACATTTAGTTATTTTTAAAATGCCTTTTCTGTGGATCCCACCAGAGCGACTAAAGAATTACATTACGCACACCATGATCATACATGTAATCCTCCTTGTCATTTCATATTTTCCAGTTAAACTGCATCAACATTAATAGTCAACAGGTCCTTTGATGTTTTCATGACTGTCCTCACAACATAGTGAGTGTCAGGACTGTCTGGGCTGACTGTCTTTTTTTACATGGAACTTTTTTTGATTGCATAAACAGGGACATGTCCTCAGCTCGACCACAGCTCGAGGCCAAAGAGACAAAACCAAGAGTCTTTCTTGAAACCTGCAAACCTGCACAGCCTCTGATCAGACACATGAAAAGAAGATACCACATGTTTTCATATGGATTTAAAGCCAGCAACGTGTCTTTAAGATGTAGATGAAGAGGTCAGTGGAGGTGTCTTCAATTGTTTTTCGCTGTTAAAGGGCTCTTTTAATGCAATTTTTAAAATGTGTGTTATAAAGTAGTTTCCTCATCACAAACATACAGTACCTGGAGTAGATTTTTTTCATTCACACGTTTAAGTCACTATCTCTGCATATTTAGGCTGAGTTCTTCTCTCAAACTGAAAACACTCTGTTCCACCATGTGATGTCATGTGGTAATACAGGAAGTGCTCCATTGTGTTTTTCAACTCCATGCATTCCACTGAACATAAGGTAAAAGGAGCTGTTCACTTGAAAACTACCACTGCATGACATCACAAAGTGTAATAGAGCATTCTGATCTTTGGAGATGTAAACATACTAATAATAAAGAGTTACTCTAACATGTGTGAATGAAGCAAAACACAACTCCAGGTCTGTTTTTGAGGAGGTAACAACATTATTGTTACATAACATGACTTAAAGCTCTCAGGAGCCAATTTTGTGTAATATAGGACCTGTAATATAAGACCTTTAAGGACCTTTGTTTAAATCAATATTTCAATAAATTGAATGAGCTAACATAACACAGTGTTAGGTAAACCTATGGGGAGGGCTATATTGACAAAAACACTGTACTTATCTGTCCTTTTTCTATGTTTTGTTTCAGATCTTCATGCAGCTTTTGATTGTGTTCTTATTACAGATGAGACACTCAATGTCCCAATTCAGCCTATTCTCAAGACAGCCATTTAAATCTTAATCATGTATTTCAGAATGATGAAAGATTAGTAACGTTGCCACGGTGATGGCCATTTAAAACTAATATTTGAATTTTGAATGGGAAAAAGTCTTACAATTCTGCAGGAAGATTAAACTGATGAATAAGCAACGTGTCACCTGACTCACAGGCTGTGGTCATGTCCCATCACAACCCTGGAGAATCCCTGGAGTTTAAAGGTCCTATACTACGCAACATTGACTCTTGTGAACTTGTTATCATGTTACCTCCTCAAAAACAGACCTAGAGCTGTGTTTTGTTTCTCCACACATGTTTGAGTAACTCTTTATTATTAGTCTGTCTACATCTCCAAACCTCAAAATGCACTGTTCCACCTTGTGATGTCATGAAGTTTTAGTTTTCAAGTTAACAGCTCCTTTTACCTTCAGTTCAGTAGAGATTAGGGTTGGGTATTATTAAGAAGTTGCTGATACCATACATACCTTGATACACAGGCCACAATACGAGATGTATCGCAAAACAGTGAGCTTTCAATTTTGATACAATTTCGGTACAATTAAAATAGATTCCATGAAAATAAAGGCGAAATCATGGTTGTGATACTAAAAGTCTTTGTTAAACATTTTAATCATCAAACAGTGAAAATGTCAAATGTGCTGCATAAATTTCCTTCCTCTAAACAAGCAACAAAACTGTAGCACTGTAATAAAATAATTGAGCAACATACACCAAAAAATAATCTTGGTGATATATCGATACAGCAGCCCATGATATCATTACTGTATCATCACATTAAATTATACAATATATCAATATTTCAATATTTTTGCACACTCCTAGTAGAGACTGGCAATTCTAGATCTGAAATCCAAATGATTCTAGTGAAGATGTGAGTTTGTGAATGAGTTTAAAGGAGAGTAGAGCACTTCCTGTATTACCACATGACATGTTTTCTGTTTGAGAGAAGAACTCAAGAAGTCTAAAACTGCAGGGTTTATGTGTTAAACATGTGTGAATGAAACAAAACACAACTCCAGTTCTGTTTGTGATGAGGAAACAACATTAGAACACAGATCAGAAAATAGTGTAACATGGGTTCTTTAAAGTGAGCTGGAGACAGGTCAGAACTCTCAGGTGGAGCTGTCAGATTGCAGATTTGGTGACCTGGTTTATGGTTCATGTCTCTATAATTACTGGGCCTATCCACATGAAACGAAAACTGGCACACAAGTCAAACATCTTCTCAGTGTAAATAAACAACAGCTTGAACAGTTGAAAGGACTTTAAGACATAGGATTAACATGGCAAGTTTGTGGAGCTCATCCAAAAATAAATAATATGATGTTCAGCATTTGTGAATTATAAATGAGGTTACATCCAGTGAATTTCCCAGAGACTTATATCGGCCCTTTTTTTTAAGTTAAAGGGTCTATATTATGTTCTAAGGTTGTTTCATTGTCACAAACAGACCTGGAGTTGTGTTTTGTTTCATTCACACATGTTTAATGCATAAACCCTGCAGATTTAGGCTTTAGGAAGTTACTGAAAGCACTCTCTTCCACCTTGTGATGTCATGTGGTAATACAGGAAGTGCTCCATTGTATTTTGAAACCACATGCACCTTCACTAGAATCATTTCAATCATTTCCAAACTGGAATTTCCAATCTCAACTGATCTAAAGGTTAAAAAGAAAGGTAATTGTTAACGTGGAAACTACCACTTTGTGACAACACAAGGTGGAACAGAGCATTTTGAGCTGTGAAGATGTAGACAGGCTAATAATAAAGGATTACTCAAATACGTGTGAATGAAACAAACTCACACAAGAGTCAATTTTGTGTCATATGGCACCTTTAACCACGTGTAAATGTACGTCACAAATCACTCACTTTTAAGGGGGTCTGCAAAATATTGAAATATTGATATATCTTATCATTTCATGTATGACACAGTATCAATATTGTCAGCTGCTGTATCGATATATCACTAAGAATATTTTTTGATATATTTGCTAAATTATTTTGTTACAGAGCTACAGTTTTGTTGCTTGTTTACTGAAAGGAAGCTCATTTAACACATTTAACTTATTCACTGTTTTGAGGTGCGTAAAATACCTCAGTCGTCCAGGTAGAATCCATGGCAAAAGGAGAAATTCAATTTGTCTAAAACTGAAGAAGCAGCTTTGAAGAGTTTTGAAACGTATTTGACCAAAATAAACCTTTGTCCGGTTGAGATTTTGAATTTCTCCTTTGGCCACTGTTTTGAGGGTTAAAATTAGGGATGTAACAATAACCAAAACATTGTGATATTGCATTGTCAAAGTTCTCACAATAATATCGTGGACCATCATAATATATATCGAATTGCAAGTCTCTTTGCTTAAATGAAGAGTTATGGTGCAGCAATAGCTAAAAAAAGACAGAGGGAACTACATAGACCATGATCCTTTGCTCCATTTCAGTGCAGACTACAAGAAGAAATAACACTTCTAAGCACTTTTAAGTCTTAATTTAAGGCATTTTAAGAGGAAAAAGTAGCATATTAACAGTTTTGTTTGCCTCCACAAAATATTGCAATAAATATCGTACCATGAGATATAGATCGTGAAAATATCATACTGAGATTTGGATATTGTTACATCCCTAATCTTGAGCTTCCCCACCATATCGTGAGCTTTCCTACAATATTGCAATAAGTATCATACCATGAAGTTCATACCGTGACGATATCGTATTGTGAGACTTGAATATCGTTACACCCCTAGTCAAAATGGGTGTTTTTATATAAACTTTGCACAAGAAGTGGTTTAACAAAGACTTTTAGTACCACAGCCATGATTTAGCCATTATTTTTTTATTGAAACGTATTGAATTGATTTGGAATATATTGTATCCATATATATCATGGCCTGTACATCGAGGTATGTATCTTATTGGTAACTTCTTAAGGATATCCAGCCCTACTTTTGTTTACAAAGTGCCTCGCTACTCCTGAATAAATGTTTGATTCTTTTGAGAAAGTGTTGGTAAGTGAAAATGCCGAGAATGTGGCGTTAAATCGATCTTTTCCAGAGATGAGAGTAGAACAGGTCTGAGCCTGGACTCCACAGCTCAGGCTCATACTGCTAGTGTGGAGAAAGGCTCAAAGGCATTCACTCTGAAGACAGACATGATGCTTTTCAGTCCTCTGTCATACATTCTTTTAGGCAGCCATATTTGTTTTGATACAGATTGACCATGCGTGTCCCTGATTGGCTAATCCACCTGTCAATCACACCCACCTGAGTTTAACCCGTGACCAGACTCGCATCTTTGCAAAGCATTGAAGAAGTGTGTATTCTGGATCTCAGACAAGGATGTAGGCTCAGAGAACTTGTTAAATGTCTCTCCCAACTCTTCACTCCTATTTTATCATTTCTTACAGTCCTTCTGAACATGCGACAAAAGAAATATCTAGACGAGTGTGGAATTGAATGTAAATCTAGGATCTTATCATATATAACATGTTTACTCTTCAATATAGAGAACAATTTTTTAAATGAATATGAAAAATGCAAAAACAAAAAGCTCAGACAAAAGGAGGAAACACACCTGCAAGAAGTCTGTGATGAAGGATCCCATCTCTGTCTTCAGCAGCCACCTGAGAAAATGAAACAAAACCAATATATTAAGATTTGTTTAAGATGAGATGACTTTATTTGTTATGATGGATGTCTTGTTTTCTGAAATGCTTCGGTGTGTGCTGGTGACCTGATGCTCTCGTTGAGTGTGTAGAGTTCATTGGGCTGCAGAGCTCCTCCTTCAAACACCTTCATGACTGCACACTGCACACTGAGGAGAGACACACACACACAGTACAACATGAACATTTTAATTCAAAAGTAACGCTGGATCAAACTGGATCAATATTTATTTCATTTTTTGTAATTTGCAGAGCACCACAGGGTCTTGAATATGCAGATACAGAAGTACAGATGGCACTGCCCAGGAAAATTAAATAAAACTCCACAAAACAGTCTCCACAAAAAGTCCAGCGGGTTTCCGGACGTGACCCTGTGCCACCTTCACTTCCTGAACATCCTGCTCCAGAAACAACAGGAAAAAGTGCCACAAACTGACAAACAGAAACAGACCATCCATGTGAGGGCAGAGAGAGTGGCTCTCGTCTGTCCTCTTCATACACGAGGACAGATAAGAGCCACTCAGTTTGTCCTATTATGTGAGGAGGACAAAGCAAGTGCAGGCCTGGGTCAAGACCAGACAGACTAAAGGTGCATTTGAGTGTCCAAGAGGTGTAAAAACTATTCTCTTCCACTTTACAGTGTCATTATTTCACTCACCTAAAAGAAGGGTGCAAACTATTTACAATGAGCTTACAATGCACCCTTCTGCACCCTGTACAACCAGGCCTAATGTCGTCAGCCTCTAGTCTGTCTCATATAGTAGCACAGATGGAGCAGCTCAAGTCTATCCTCCTATATGAGGAGGATATATATAAGAGGAGGACATCTGAGGACATCCTATGTGAGAAGGAAGACTATGTGAGGAAGACCTATTATGTGAGGAGGACAGACTATGTGAGGAGGATATCCTGTGTGAGGAGGAAGACTGTGTGAGGAGGTCATCCTATATAAGGAGGTCAGGAGAAAAATTGGAGGTCAATGCAATAGGCCATGCAAATAGCCTAGCTTCATTTGTACTGACTTTTAGTGTGATTTTAGTGTCCTGTGAGCTTTTAATCATGTTAGAATGCTGTTACCTCAAAAACAGACCTGGAGTTGTGTTTTGTTTCACTCACACATGTCTGAGTAATCCATTATTATTATTCTGTCTACATGTCAAAACCTCCACCTTGTGATGTCAAGAAGTTTTCAGGTTAACAGCTACCTTTTGCTTTTAGTTTAGTACAGACTTGTAGAGACTGGCAATTCCAGTGAAGGAGTTTAAAAACACAGTGGAGCACTTCCTGTATTACCACATGACACCCCAATATATCATGTGTTAAGTGTTTTCCATTTGAGAGAAGAGTTTGAGAGTTTGAGGGTTTGTGTGTTAAACATGTGTGAATGAAACAAAACACAACTCCAGGTCTCTTTGTGATGAGGAAACTACATTAGAACACATCAGAAAACAGCGTAATATCAGCCCTGTGAACCATTAGTCGCCTGCTCATTTATTAACAATTACGTGATAGTTTGAGAAGCAGAAGAAAGAAAAAGTCACAGTTTGAGACTGTACACAAATATGGATAAAGCAGTATCAGGTGAGGTGTATGGTACTTTTAAACAATGTTAATCATTACATATAGTAGAGTTCTACACCAACTACATCATAATGATGAGTGTATTACAAATAAGCAGTTTTACAAAAGGTATAGTGGACATGAAATTCAAATGCATTTTGTTATCCACAAGCTATTTTTTTATGTATCTTGATGCTGATTGTATCATAAGGTTCTTGGTAACACCCAACCCTAAATACAAAAGAACTATTTTAACAGGAATTGTCTAGAATTGTCAGAATGTCTATTTTCAAAACAGAAAACTATAAAAGACTTTCCTTTCCTCGTGATTTGACTTTTTGTCTATAAATATTGAAATGATGTTTAACCCAAAAACAGGAGATCAGAGCTGTGTCCTAAACACAAGTTAATGTCTGCTATGATATGAAACAAACATGAGATCAGCCCAGTGAACTACTGAAGGAAACTATAGCAACAGTGGCTCAGTGACGACAGCGTCATCACGGCAGGAAAGCTGAGGCTGCAGAAAAAGTGCATCACCACTACTTGATGAATGAACAACTGGCAAAACCTAAGAATGTTCTGAAGAGAAGAGAAAGGTCCGCCGCCTATTCCCACATACCTTCATTATGACATGCCTCTATTTATACATGCCAGTTTTTTCAGACACTTTTTAGTATCTCTATTCCGACACGTCATTTGTGTGTTCATCTCATTGAGCTGGCACAGTGAACTTGATTGATCATGTATTTAGTAGGGATGTAACAATAACCAAAATATCGTGATATCGTATCATCAAAAGTCTCAGAATAATTTGGAGAGCTGTCACAATATATCGAAATACAAGTTCCTTTGCTTAAATGCATTGTTTTATAGTAGCAATAGCTAAAAAAAACAACAACTATGGAACATGGAACTACATATCCCATGATTCATTTCAGTGCAGACAACATGAAGAAATATGTTTTTAAATTTAAATATTGGGATTATGACAGTAATGATTTGCATCTAAGTCTTGTCAATGTATTTTAAATGCAAAAAGTATCCTGTCTACAATTATATTAACCACTCCAAAATATCACACTAAATATCGTACCGTGAAATGGATATCGTGATAATATCGTACAGTGAGATTTTGATATCATTACATCCTTAGTATTTAGGCTATATGGTGTTCTCCACAGATAGTCAACATGACGAAATGAATGTGCTCATGTAATCAGTGGAGTGTGCAATAATGGGAGCTGTGCAATGAATGGGGTGTGCAATAATGGGAGCTGTGCAATGAATGGGGTGTGCAATAATGGGAGCTGTGCAATGAGTGGAATGTGCAATAGTGGGAGCTGTGCAATGACTGGAGTGTGCAATAATGGGAGCTGGGCAATGAAAGGAGTGTGCAATAATGGGAGCTGGGCAATGAGTGGAGTGTGCAATTTTTAATAGTTTGACCCCCTGTGAACCCAGCCCTTTGGGAGAACGAATGGAAATGAGCCTTAGCCTATAATCCAGTGTGTTTAAATTTATGTTGTGTCATGTCTGTTCATTAGCATGCTCTGTCCCAATTAAATAAATAAATAAAGCACAAAGGGCCCATGCAACCTCCATTTTAGATTCAATATTTTCCTGGCCTATGCTCTTTTTTCAAATGCATGATTGTTTCCCAGGGCTCAGTTCGGAAATTTTCCCACTGTCTGATATCCTCTGTGGTCCAAGTGTTCTCTGATCAAGTGTTTTGCATTGGCCCAAGCATCTTATGATATCACATTAATATTATTCATGTTGAAGCAGAATGTTTGAAAAATTAAAAAGAGAGCAGTTTCGCCATGTTTTGTGCAGTTATCTCTTCATACCGTTCAAGTAAAGCTGTATGTGTATTCTTCAGGCAGCAGGTCAGCCAAAACTAAATTTGGGCCAATGCTGGAGATTTAATATATCAGCCAATCGATAAATCGGTCTACCTCTGGTTGTAGCAGTGAGATAGTTTTTATGTATATATTTAGGTCTATAACTAAATATATTTTGAGTTTTCAGACAAAACCTTTTTGACAGTGTTTGTTAATGTGTGTGTGTGAAAGAAATGAAAGACTACTATGCTGTGAAGGCAATATTCTTATCATGTGTCTGTGTAAATTCACTTAGTCATAACACAATGTCACAGGAAACTCTGCTGTTTCACCTGTTCTCACAGTGTGAAAGTGTGAACTCATGGCTGCAATACAAAAGTCTCTGTTTTGATATGTGTGTAGCTTTGTTATTTGCAAATGGATTTTTATTAGTCTTCAAGAGTTATAACATTTTTCACAACATGTGTTCTGTGTCACCATGGTAACTGCTGAACATTCCACTACAGAGATCCCTGTAGCGCATCCTCAGCATGACGTCACTGCAAAGTATCAAAAAACCTGAGAGAGTTGAGTATAGAGGTGATCTTCAGACCTGTTCCAGACACTGGTGTTGGAGACCTGCAGAGCCGTGGAGCTGGCGTGAAAACGAGCCAAGTCCGACAGAACTGGAGAACTCATGAAGCGAGGCCTCGGGCGCCGGAATGATCCCATCATGCACTGGGGCTGAAAAGAGAGAGAATCATCGGAGTCAGACTGGAAGATTTGAAGAAACATCATAAGTGGTCATAGTGTCATAAATCTACTCATAATAATCATCAGACGAACTGCATTATGTGTTGCTGCTGCCAAGTATTGAAATATTAACATTACTGCAATATTTGTACACACTTTTAGACATGTCTGAATGCAGTTGAATACATTTGCCTGTAGTAACATTTGAGGACCAGTCAACAGTTAGTGACGTGACACAGCAGCTCTTATTTGAATGTTCAAACTCTACAAACTACAAAAAAATCCCAGTGTCTTTGTGAGGTCTTATTTGGCATAAACTGAAATTTAGGGATGTAACCGAAATATCCTGATAATGTATCATCAAAAGTCTCACAATAATATCGTGTAAAGTGTGTTTTTAACTTAACTGGCTTAAAAGAAGCTAAGAGCTAAAATGAACGGAGGAAGATAAAATAGATGAAATGTGTTCTCTCGTGTGCCGGTTAAAAGATGTGCTGCAGAATTTTGGATAAACTGTAAGCGTGACAGGTGAGTTTGACTGATACCAGTGTACAAGGCATTACAGTAGTCAAGATGTGTACAGATAAAAGCTAAAAACTAAAAGATAAGACCGATTTGAGTCTGGATAAAAGTCGCAGGTGATAAAAATTGGATTTAACCACTGCATTTATCTGCTTGTCAAACTTCAGATCTTTGTCATCTTCAAATCATCAATGATGACGCCAAGGTTGGTAACTGTAGATTTAGTATACAATTTGTTTTGTATTTTTCGGACTATAAGGCGCACTGGATTATAAGGTGCATTAAGTGAAACAAACGGACGACTCTTGAGACTGATCCTTAGCCCAGGCGTCCACAATCCATTGGCAGATCATGGCGTAATTCACCCGGCGTTGTGTCCCTGTCTTCGTGAATGTATATTGTGAATGTGACTGTGGGTGGATCATTTAAGTTTGGCTCAAATATACATAAAGTAATAATGTGTTAATGCAGCTTTGCACACATTTGTTTACATTTTACAGAAACAAAACTTAAAACTGCATGGCTCATTTGCATAAAGTGGTGTGGCTTTGTAGCTTACCAAAGTCATACTAAAATATTTTGACAGATTTTTGAGCACCGTGTACCACATAAAAACGGTTCGAGTAAGTCGGTTTCAGTAAGCACAACCAGAATTAATACATAAGACACACTGGATTATAAGGCGCACTGTCGATTTTTGAGAAAATGAAAGGATTTTAAGTGCATCTTATAGTCAGAAAAATATGGTATTCTTGAAAAGAGCTCAAACTGAAAATTTGTAGACATGCTTGCTTTAAAAACAACAATTTCCATTTTGGATTCAAATTTAACTTAAATGTAAGCTAAAGAGCAAATATGATTATATAAACCACTTTTTTCAAACGAAGGTTCAGACTTCTACACATTTTATGCTGTTATTACTGCCCCTGCCCCCTCCACCGCTCCCTGAAAAAATCATATGTATGTATTGTAAGTTTAATACCAGTCCTCATGAGAAACAGGTAGGGGAGCTGTTCTAACCAACCCTGTAATTTAGATCAATACAGTGTTCTGAAATGCATGTGATTCTTGTGTCCATGGGTTTCAGAATGATAAAAATAAAATAAAATAGGACATAGCAATTTTATTTCATGTATTATATCTATGGAATGGGAAAAAGTCCTGAGAATGTTACATAATATAACAAGCATCTCATATTTCTCTCTTCTGCTCCTGGATCTGTTTCTGTGTCTGTACTGTACGTTTAGCACAATGTTCGCCAGGTGTATGTCGGGTGTCATATGGACTCTCCCAGGGGTGAAACAGAAGTGGTGTCAACGACTGAATCCTGTGGGACCCTGTTCAGTACAATAGTCTCATATTATCTCTATTATTATGAAAAGGAACAACCCTATGGCCTACACAATGCAGAACACCTCTCACCTCTGCTGTCAGTCACCTGTGCAGCTCAGAGGGTCTCCTAAGTCCTGATTTAGGCCTAGTTTAATCTTGGTTCAGTCCTGGGTAAGTTCTGATTCAGTTCAGTCGTGGTTCAGTCTTGGTTCAGTCCTGGTTTAGTTCTAAAGTCTGGTAAGTCCTGGTTTAGAACTGGTTCAGTCATGGTTCAGTGCTGGTCTAGTTCCAGTCCGGTCCTGGGTCAGTACTATTTTAGTGCTGGTTTAGTCCAAAATCTTGGTTAGTCTTGAATCAGTCCTGGACCAGCCTTGGCTTAGTCATGGTTTAGTTCTGGTTCAGTCCTGGTTCAGTACTGGTTTAATCCTGGTTTAGTCCTAAATCCTGGTTTTGTCCTGGCTTAGTTCTAAATTCTGGTAAATCCTGGTTACCTCCGCCAAGGAGGTTATGTTTTTGCCGGCGTTTGTCTGTTTGTTTGTTTGTTTGTCTGTTAGCAACATAACTCAAAAAGTTATGGACTGATTTTGATCAGGATTTGTTGGAAATGTGAAAAGGAAGAACTGATTTCATTTTGGGGGTGATCTGGAAGAAATCCTGGATTCTGGATCACTTTGAAATTTTAGTTAACATTGTGGTAAATGGGGCCAAAACTTTTGTTTCTCAATATCTCGGTTAATTATTGACCAAACCCCATGAAATTTGACTCAGGGATGGACAATGGGATCCTCTTTCATATTCCAAAGGCTGATCCGGATCTGATCCAGAAGACTGATTTTATCGCAATTTATATAAAAAATGGGGGTAGTCCTTGGTGGAGGTCTGCGCTCTCTGAGTGCTTTTCTAGTTTAGAACTGATTTAGAACTGGTTCAGTCATGGTTCAGTGCTGGTCTAGTCCTGGTCCAGTCCTGGTTCAATACTATTTTAGTCCTGGTTTAGTCCAAAATCCTGGTAAGTCTTGGATCAGTCCTGGTTAAATCCTGGTTAGTCCTGGTTCAGTCTTGGTTCAGTCTTGGTTCAGTCCTGGTTTAGTCCTGGTTTAGTCCTAAATCCTGGTTCATCCTGGTTTAGTTCTAAATCCTTGTTAAGTCCTGGTTTAGAACTGGTTTAGTCCTGGTCCAGTTCTGGTTCAATACTATTTTAGTCCTGGTTTAGTCCAAAATCCTGGTTCAATACTATTTTAGTCCTGGTTTAGTCCCGGTTTAGTCCTTGGCTTTACTGGTTTTAGTTTAATTTCAGGTCTTATTAAGTGCTGATGTATACAGACGTGGATACAGTTTCATGGTACTTTCCCCATTGAGTCAAACCAGGAAATGACTCGGCGTGAAGTGACAGTTCAGCAGGTGGACCTACTTCCTGTCTGAGTGGGCCTTACTTCCTGTTTACATTCACATTCATCTCATTAATTTAGAAACTTCATCTTCTTCAACAGACACCACCACTTCCTGAATCTCAAACTGAACCTGCTCTCACTTTTCAGAAAAACCATCTGGTCATGTGATTCTGGTTACTGTAAATGTGTGGGTTTTTCAAAGAACTGTGAGATGTTTTGAAATCTATTTTGGGTTTGGTCTTTTCAACGCTGTGGCAGAGAAGTAGAGCACAGTTTCCCTTTTTGAAGATAAGGGGCTAGAAAGTTGACATGAACAAATAAAAATCTTTTGAGTACAGTTAAACACTATAGCCTATTCAAATATTAATAACTTTTTGTTCAAGATTAGAAAAAATAGGCTATATTAACACCCTTCCAGACTTAAGGGCAATTTTAGTACATTTGTCCTTGCCTGAATTATTTTCTTAATTTTGCTGTTAAAGCTCCCACTTTTACCCCCTAATGAAGTGTTACACATCCTTTTTTTAAGTACAACCTGTTATTTCACAATCTCCTGCTGTAGTTGTGTCATATGGCTGTAATAAAAGCTTCAGGACCAGAAATACAAATGAAAAAAAAATTAAAAAATACAGAAAATAAAATTCACACTCTTTCATACAAAACCCACAGAAAACATGTATAAACAACTTTTTGGACATAAAACATGCTTAATTTAGGGCCTTAGCTACAAAAGTGCCAAATATCAAGTCTGTAAATAAACTAAAAATATCCTTATTGCCCTCAAAATGAAAAAAAAAAAAAAAAAAAAAAAGTTGCCCCATGACTTTCCTGGTGTCAGTCATGGAAACAGCTCATGTCATGTCCAGGACACAGAGCCACATCACTTCCTGCATTTCCATGGGGTTTATTACATTTGGATTTGTATATTTAGACTGAAATAAACCTTTGAAATAAAAATAGCAAGGGATGTGCAATAGGCTCTATTCAGGCTTGCGTCACAAAGCAGGAAGACGTGTGGAAAGATGCTATTACAACTTCCCAGTCTCAGTTTTCTTCATCTCCATGTCATTATGGTGTCCTATTATCTTCAGTTAATCAACAATTCCAACCATACCTCAGTTTTCATCATTTCCCCACTGACACACAACTCCGAGTGCACTGGGTACATGCAGTCTGATCATATTTACCTCATTGGGTTTGATCACAGTCAGTTTTAATAGATCCATGTTAGGCGAGCCCATTGTCGGTAACTACACCGGAAGTTGTAATTGCATCTTTCCAAAACGTCTTCCTGGTTTGTGATGGACGTAAGCATGAATAGAGCCTATTATGCAGACCAAGAATTTGCCATTTATTTGAGAAATAACTACACCTAGAGCAACTTTTTCAATTGTTACAAACACAGACGTTCAAAGCAGTCGACCATTTTGACTCATTACCCTCTTTGGCAATGTCTAGGCCGGTCAAAATGGATGGAGCGCATGTGTTTGGCTGAAAACAAAGTTCCTATATAAGACACTTGTTTTCCCTCCATCATCACACAGCGTGCATATGACGTAGGATAATGCCGGAAATATGTTCGGAAAGCTGCAACTGTCAGTTTCTCAAGGGAAAAAAGTAAGTTTCGATCTTTTACGGTTGGAAAGTTATGCGTGGTTTTATAAAACATATTCCCAGGTATCATATATGATACTGTTGGTCTGGAAGGGTTAAATAATCACTGTTTCCATAAGTTCATACAGAAAC